GTGAGGAGCACGCCGGCCTTCCAAAGCAAGTTCTCACTTCCATCCAGGCCAGAATGATGGCTCAGCTGGCTAATCCTCCAACCTGCCAGCACTGTCTTCCCATCTGGGCGCCAGTTCATACGCCGACTGCTCCACTTTCCATCCAGCTCCCTGCTAATGGCCTGGGAAAGCAGTGGAGAATGACACGGAGCTTTGGGACCCTGCATCTGCATGGGAAGCCTAGAGGCTCCTGGCTTCAGATCGGCTGAGTTCTGCCCATTACAGCCATTTGGGGAGTGACCCAGCGGATGGAAGATCTGTCTCTCTCAAATCTTTCCCATGAAAATAAAGCTCTTCACGTAACATTTGGGTAAGGCTAATCAGGTAGATCATCACAGTGTGTGGCTGGCACGTGTGACGTGGTAAAACATCCTGGGGCACTTCACTTTAGGAAAGCCAATTAGACACTGCTTAGGCCACAGGCAAGACCACGGGCACTAAGCTTCCATCCCGGGACACAGAAACTCCTCCACACAAACTGCAAAATGCAAGAAAGGATGTGAACTTGAGGAGTCCCAGTGACGCGGGCTGTCTCTGATGCAATGCCCCAAATGGGCACCTGCAACTCCATCTCTCCTGGGGCCCAAAAGCTGTCACATGAATCAACAGGTATGAGCACGGCCTGAAGAAATGCCCCTGGGGCAGATGCTGTGCAGTAAGCCACAGCTTAAGACACCTGCATCCTGGTGCAGGCAACTGCAAGTACCGGCATCCCGGCTGCTCCACTTCCCATCCAGCTCCCTGCTAACGCCTGGGAAAGCAGCCTTGACACCCTGCACCCACATGGAAGACCTGAAGTTCCTGGCTTCAGCTCAGATCAGCTCTGGCTGTTGCAGCCACTTGGTGAGTGAACCAGCAAATTGAAGACCTTTTGTCTCTCCTCTCTAAAAATCTGCCTTTAAAAAGAAAACTCACTCATAAAAAGGGGGGGCAGCATGATGGCTGATCCTCCCCTTGTAAGTGCTGGCATCCCATATGGGTGCCAGTTGATGTCCCAGCCACTCCACTTTCAATCCAGCTCCCTGCGTGTGGCCTGGGAAATCAGCGAAGATGGCCCAAGTCCTCAGGACCTTGCACCCACATGGGAAATGCAGAAGTTCCTGGCTCATGGCTTCAGATGGGCTGGGCTCCACCTGTTACAACAAATGGGAAATATTCATCTCTTTGTAAATTTTCAAGTCCACTAAAAACAAATCGAAAAAGGAAGGAAGACCCCTGCACTCCATAACGCCAGTCCCCCTTCAGGGCTGCCCCCTTCCAGTCCAGCTTTCTGATGTTGCTTCCGAGAGAGCAGTTGACCCAGTGCTTGGCGTCTTGCCACACATGTGGGAGAGTTCAGGGAGAGTTCCTGGCTCTTGGCCTCTGGGCTGACCCAGTCCTGGCTGCTGAGCAGTTGCGGCAAGAACCAGTGGAAGGAAGAGCTCTCTCTTCCCCCTGCCCTCTCTGTCCCATTTTTCAGAAACATGCTAACAGGTTCAAAGATACAAGAAAGCAGTGTTAGAGATTAAAAATATTGGGCCCAGTGCTGTGGCATAGCAAGCAAAGCAAACATCTGCAGTGCCGGCTTCGCACTGGGTGCTGGTCCAAGCCCTGGATGCTAGCAGTCCAGACTGAAGGCAATTACCAAGGAAAATTCTTTGCAGAAGACCAGAGACCCACAGCATCAGCACCGTGGTACCACGCAGCAGAAGGCCCCTGCCACCCACCTGGGAGACCCGGATGCTTAGACCAGACGCAGACTCAACCACTGGGTAAAGTCTGTGTAATTCTGGGATAAAGTCCTCACCTCACATGCTCTAGGATCTCAAATGGGCGCCGGTTCTAATCCCCGTGGCCTCATTTCCCATCCAGCTCTCTGCCTGTGGCCTGGGAAAGCAGTAGAGGACAGCCCAAACTTTGGGACCCACCACCCACGTGGGACACTCAGAAGAGGCTCAGAGTTCCTGGCTTCGGGTCAGCTCAGCAACAGCCATGGCTGCCATTTGGGGAGTGACCCAGTGGACAGATCTTCCTCTCTGTAATCTAACTTTGCCCGTTTGGGTAGCCCAACAAGCACGTGAATGCTTGTGCCCCTCTGGGCAGTGCTTGCCCTGCTGCCCCACGCCCCTCCCTCAGCACAGGCGGCTTCGCCTCGCTGGCCACACTTACTCCTTATCGTTTCCACACCATCATCATCTCTCAGCACTCCCTGGTGGCCTATGTCCAACCAGTTAACCTGAAACTTGCAGAATTTGTGTTTTTAAGTTTTTGGCATTTGTTCTTTTAAATGAGCAGCAGAAAGCAGGGCAGCCATCCGCGCACAGGTTCTTCTGATGGGCTGGCAGGTACACTTCTCACAAAAGTCTGCAGAGGTAAATATCCCTGTTCCGTTCTTAACTGAAATGCAACCTCCAAGGGTACTCAAGCTCAGGGTGGGTACTGCGGGGATGAGGTCACAGCCGCCTCCACAGACGCGTACGCCAAGGCCTCAGATTAAGGACCTGGCTGGGTGCCTGCCGCCCATGGGGGACTCTGTGCCCATTTGGAAGTGAACCTGCACACAGAAAATCTCCGTGTCTAATCCATCCTTTAACACCATGGCTTTGGTACAGTACCCCAAGCCTTCAAGGGTCATCTGAACTGTAAGGCGAGGCTCCCGCAAGTTGCCGTTGTCTGGCAGTGTAGAGCTAGGGCTGGGCCTGGGACTCTGCCTCTCAGAGCTTTCTCACAGCACCCCTGCAGGCCAGGGGTCACCTGGTGCTCAGACTTCCTGTTCTGACAGCCCCACGTTAGTGATTTAAGGTCTGCGTTGTGCAACCATGTTGGCTATTTCTAGCTTTCCCACACTGCAGAAAAGGGCTGGGCAGAGGGGCCTGTCCACCACAGCTGTCAAGCCATCTGCCAGTGACCTGCACAGGTCAGGAGCTGTCCAGCTGCAGCCTGCTGGAGCTGCAAGGCCCCAGCTACTCCTCTGGCCACCTGCGTTTCCCACAGCAGCAGGAACTGGCTAATTCCGGCACTGGCAGGATTCTAGAATGTGATGCCAGAGCTGGGACTGAAACCCAGGTGCCTGGATTGTGGACTCGAGGTTCCCTCACCGCTAGGCCAAATGCCAGCCCTGCACAAATACACTGTGTGTGAAACAGCAGCCCATTCACATCTCCAGGAGCAACTGGTCATCTGCAATTTGGCGTTCTTTTCCTCCACTCGCTCATTCATTTGCACCTTCTAAAACAAACGCAGGGACCAGCCCAGTTGCTTAGTGGCCAAATCCTCGCCTTAAATGCCCAGGACCCCAAATGGGCGCCGGTTTATGTCCCAGGTGCTCCACTTTCCATCTCGTTCCCTGCGTGCGCCCTGGGAAAGCAGTAAGGATGGCCACACGTGCTGGGATCCTGCACCAGTGTGCGAGAGCCTGAGGAACTTCCTGGCTCAGAATCGGCTCAGCTCTGGACATCACGGCCAGTTGGGGAAATGAACCCATAGATGGCAGATGCATCTCTCCTCTCTGTAAATCTGACTTTCCAACTAAAAAAAGCTTAAACTCAGTGACGTTCCAGGGTTGAATTCACTAAGGGGACTTAATAGGACAGCCTGCTAGGCCAGACCTCCCGTTACTCAATGAGACTCACTCAGCTTATCCCAGACCACCTTCATCCAGTTTAACATGGAATCCCCACTACCGATACCATCACTTACAGAGTCTGGGATTTACTATTATTGGAAAGTCAGATTTACACAGAGGAGAAACAAAGGTCTTCAACTCACTGGTTCACTCCCCAAGCGGCTGCAGCACCTGGAGCCAAACTGATCCAAAGCCAGGAGCCTCTCCCAGGTCTCCCACGCAGGTGCAGGGTCCCAAGGCTTTGGGCCGTCCTCCACTGCTTTCGCAGGCCACAGGCAGGGAGCTGGATGGGGCTGCTGGGATTAGAACCGGCACCCATACAGGACCCCAGTGTATTCAAGGTGAGGACTTTGGCCGCTAGGCCACGGCGCCGGGACCCCTGCTCAGTACTTGTCAAGCATGAAGCAGTGCTGTACTGTTAGCCTTGCTTCACCCACAGCCATGGACGTGTTACTCCAACCTGGTGCTGTGATCACCGCGGACACTCATCCACAGGTGGTACGACTTTTACACTAATCTGGGTGCATACCCGAGAGTGAAGTAGTGGAGTCATCTGGCTATTCTATTATTTATTTCATTTACTTACTAAAAGGCAGAAAGGAGTTCTACCACCTGCTGTGAACTCCCCCAAACCCACATCAGCTGGGGCTGAACTAGGCCAAAGCCAGGAGCCCACAATGCAGCCCAGGTACCTCACAGGGTACCTGGCTCCCTTCCTACAAGATAAAGGAGCTGGGAGAGGGGCCAGCAGGCCAGAAGGTATAGCAGGCTGACCCTCTGTCTGCAGCTCCAGCAGCACATATGGAAGAAAGCAGGCTCGTGTCCTGGCTGCTTCACTTCCCATCCAGTTCCCTGCTTATGGCCTGGGAAAGCAGAGGACGGCCCGTGACTTTGGACTCCTGTACCCACATGGGAGGCCTGGAAGACGCTCCTGGCTACCAGTTTTGGGTCACCTCAGCTCTGGTCGTTATGGCCATGCAGGGAGACGAGCAGTGGACAGAAGACCTTCTCCATCTCTCCTCTCTCCATAAAATCTGCCCTCCAAATAAACTAAATCTTAAAAAAGATAATAAAATGTACACATTTATGGAAATCTGCCATGTAGTGTCTTCAAAACTTATGAATGGTTCTCAAACATTAAAAAAATCCTATCAGTGTGACTTCAACTTGATCTGAAATGAAGCAGGTGGGACTAGAAACAGCGCCCACATGGGAGACTGGCAAGGGCAGGCGCAGGTGGGACTAGAAACAGTGCCCACATGGGAGACTGGCAAGGGCAGGCGCATCAGCCTGTTGAGCCACTGTGCTGACCCCAGTGAATCAGCTATACTTGAGACAGTACAAGAAAACCACACTATAACTTATGAACATGGATTTTAATAAAACAAAACAAACCCTAATCCAAATACTAGCAGAACAAATTAAGCAATGTATAAAATATCGACACAATGAATGTATCCAAGAATGGCATATGTTGGAAAAGCAAACACAAGTTGAATATGCATCCACGATGCTTGGAGCAGAGCACTGCTCCCGCCATCCCTGCCCCTCAGTCGAATATGTATATACTCCTTGAGGATGGAACACAGTCCTAAATAGGAAGTTCATTTATGTTTCTAATTACCTTATTTGCATAGCCTGAAGGTAGTTTTATACAAGATTTCCAGTGCACCTGTGTTCTGGGACCTACGGTGCAGCCATTTTCCACATGTGTTGTCACACTGGTTTTCATAAAGTTGGGAGTTTTAGAATGGGTGCCCACCCTACACGTTAAGGGACTAGGAGACATGGCAGATGGATGGAATGGAGGAAATTCAGGATCATTCAACAGACACTGGAACCCAAACATGCGCACACTGACCACCAGAATAAAGATACCATTTGCATATTTCACAACCAGAAACCACCTCCTCTAGCCAGCCTTGGGAGCCCACTGAGTCAGGCTGGCCTGAGGCACTCTGGCACCCTGCCCTCCCAGGGGCCTTTGCCTCGGGGTGTTCAGGAAAGAGAGCAGGGGAGGCCGCCCCCCACACCCTTAGTCATGACCCCTCTCAGGCATGAGCTGTGCAGACCCTGCTGCCTGCCAGCAAAGGGAGTTTTCACAGGGTCCCGCTCAGAACTCTATTCCGTCTTGGAATTGCAGGACGGAAGCACAGCGTGCTGCCTCAGGAAGCCAGCCACTACTGCTCCTCCGGCTCCAACCTAGCTCCCCACTGTCCAGGAGGAAGCTCTGCAGCTGTGAGTCGCCATAACTGCCAGAGCCACACACACAGCCAGCATCCCAATGATGGTGTTACAGTCCCCTCACCCAGGAGGCTGACTACCTGGCCCTCAAGTCGTCCAAAGCCAAATGAAGTCCTTCCCTCATGCTTTACTGGCACCACTCAATCATGGCAGTTACTGGTACAACCTGAACTCCACAGATGACTCCCATCCAAAGCATAGGACATGTCCGGATGGGAGGGCAGCCTCCCGACCAGCCTCACCTCTCAGAACCATTTCTGCACTGCTAGAGATCCCAGGACTTTGGAGTTGTGGTCCCGGAGGGGCTCGCTGCATACCAGTGTCTGGAGCAGAAGCTTCTAGGACAACGGGCGCAGGCGAAACATGCACACTGGCAAAACGGAGTGAGGGCGTGGTGGTGCTGCCCACTGCCAGAGCAAACAAATGCGTGGAAAAGATGCTCGGTTCAAATGCCTGGTTTTGTTCCCACCTTCAACGCTCGCAGGAGTCCAAGGCTAACTGATGTTCACCGGGTATCAACAAAGAGAGCTCAACTGTGTACACTAACAATGGGAGAGGGATTTTCTCAACCAACCTTTATGATCAACCACTTGAGTTGGGATAAACTTGGTTTGAAATGGGTGTTGCCATCTCTGCTCAGCTGTTCTGTGCCTGACATCACCCCTGACATCACTGGGACACAGCAGACGGGCTTCTCCAGGAAGCTCAGGGGGACTGCATGGCAACGCTATCCTGAGAGGGCAGTGGGCTCCACAACCAACGATGGGTGCTGGGACACAGCCTTCTTTGACTCCAAGTACAAAATTATGACTTTCATTCATACTAATTGCAAGTGAGCCTAAAGTTAAAAAGTCAGAATGAAGAATAACCATTTGCTCTTCCCATACAGGAGGGCTCTCCTTCAGTCCCATAAAGTGAATTCTGTGCCAAGTCCCGCTCCTTCAGAAGGGCAATCTGAAGGGCAGTTATTGCTAGCAAAGCTGGACCAGTCCCTCGCTCACCTTGGGGACATTTCACGCGAAAAGGCTGCTAGGTGGCTTGAAGCCCTCCGAGGAAGGGGAGGTACGGAGGTGGGGGCAAGCTGGCACTGATAGGCTCACCCCTGCCAGCTGGCTCCGGCCCTGTGCTGCCATTTGAGAGCATGCCTGGAGCCTGGAGCAGAGGCTGTTACATGGGTGCCCCGGGCAGGCTAAGCCCCTGCAGGTTGCCAACCAGTGCCTGGGGAACAGCCAAAAGCCCTAGGATCAAAGCCCAACCGACGAAAGGAGCAGCTTCAGCTAGAAACATCCACTGCTGGGAGGCGGATGAGAAGGCCTGGTGAGGCGGGCTGCGTTCTTTGCAACATGGAGAGACGGTGCCTTGGACCCCAGTGTGGACGTGAGCTGCTAAGGCCACGACGACTGCCACCACCTCAGGGTCTGCTGACCTTGGGCAGACCCGGGCAGCGAGAACTGAGGGTCAGAGGACATACGGCAGCAAACAGGACAGACTTTATCAGAAAAGAGAGGACACTCAAACACATGTCCCGTGCCAGGTGAAGAACTTTGGAGCGTGGGTGAAGTTCCTGAGAACAGCTGATGAGCAGGGATAGGGCAGCCAGGCACTGCTCCTCAGGAGGCCCCAGACCTCTGGGAGGATACCAGCTGCACTCCATCTCCCGGGCTGTGGACAGACAGGTCAAGAACGGGCTTATTGCACTTTGCCGTCTGCCCTGCAGAGGCTCTCCTGGCTGCAGAGAACACTGCATGTCCTTGCAAGGTGCAGGCTCATCTCTCCAGGACAGAGGGCTGCTCTTGCACCCAGGGCCCTTGGGCTGGGTGGGCCTGGTCTGGCTGGTCTCTGGCAGGCAGGCTGGTCCACTGACAAGCAGAAGCCAAAGAGAAGTGTAGCGCAGGAGAGCTGGGCACAAGGGGATTCTCTTGGCCAACATGGAAGTTCCAGAAAGAAGCTGTAGCCACAATTCTTGAGTTTCCTTTCTTCTACTCAGGAACCAGCCCACCCCAGAGAGGAGACAGAGCGCTCGGCCAGTTCCAGAGCATCACACAGAATCTAGGAGGGGTTGGAAACAACAAAGCACTTGGCACAGAGGTTGGTTCTCCCACAGTGCTCCTGACATCACGCAGAGCCCTGGCCAGGCTTTCCCTTGGTCCGTCCGTATCTGAGTAGCTCTGAGCACTTCATATGTAAATGGGATGATACCGTTTGTGGCTCATCTTTTTCCTACAAGTTGGGCAAGTGTTAGCACTCTTGAGGGAATCGCGGAGGCACTGGCTACAGAAGACGTGGCCACATTCTGTAGAAACAATGAGACGTCCGCTCTGCACAATCTACAAGACATGGAAAGAAAGAGCCTCTGAGTGTTCTGTTCCCAGAGGGTCGGAGCCCCCTGCAGATGACCCTGCGGGGAAGGAGCAGCCAACTCCAGCCTCACCCCCAGCTGAAAGCAGGAGTGTGGGCTCCAAGCAGCTGCAGCATAAGAGGGTTCCAGAGCACCCCAAGAAGTAAGGGGCTTGTTAGGGTCAGACGAGGACCTAGCTGACGCCCTGGCCCTGGGGATCCAGGGTTCAGACACTGGCGTGCTTTCCATTCACATTATGTGCCAGCCCAGGGAGCACGTGAGGTGTCACACCAATGAAGAGCAAGATCCTGTCCTGGACCGCAGAAGTCCTGTCCAATCAGAGAGCTTACCTCTGAGTATCCGTCCATGCAGATGGGGCAGCTCACAGTACCCGAGGACCTATAGACAGTGGTTCCCGTCAGCAGCCAAGCAAACACAGCCCTCAGTCCCGTCCCCTAAGCAGCCTGAATTCCCTTCACACCGCTCCCCGCCCCCCGACCCTGGGGGGCTTCTGGGAAGCCAAGGGGACAGGCAGGAAAACCCTACAAGATGCCGAGCACCCAGCTGTCATGCCTTGGGCTTGTCCACATCCACCCCATCACAGTCCAGCACGTGCTGGTCACTGAGCCGAGCCCAGTGTTCCCAGAACCACAGAAAACAGAGCGTGCTGGCCCGCCCCACTCCAGCAGCGCTCAGGGGCCCATGGTACCTAATCCCCGCAGCTCCATCAGTCCTGGCACTCCTGGGAGTGTGGGTGGTCACATACACGTCTCGGTCCCTGGCCAGCTCCTCCTCGTCACTGCTGAGCACACAGCTGTCGGCATGATCCTGACGGAGCCTCCTCGCGTTCCTCCTTGGCCTCCTCCGTTCTGAGATGAGAGTCACAAGTTCAGACTGCAGACTCCTTGGTCTCGTCGCCCTCACCACTTCACCCCGGTGCCCCCCGAACACCCTCCTTGTCTGGCTAGAACCTCCAGGGGATACCCACATCCCCCTGCATGCTTGGCACTGGGCACTGCCTGACACCCCACAGGCCCCACAGAGGGCTCTGGCTTCGCGCCTGGAGGCGGGCACAAGGCTCAGACTGTGCCGCGTGGCCAGGGAAGCCCCGGCAGTCTTCCTGCTGGTCTTCTCGGACCTCCTCAGGATCGTCTGGCAAGATCTGCACTGCTCTCCAGGCCCAGGGAAAATGGCCAAACCACTCACCATCAACAATCTTCAAAAAAAAAAAAAGAGAGAGAGAGAAAATTAATCAGTTTGAGTAATAAAATGGGAGTACTGGTTGTTCTCAGTGAGTGACGCACAGCCCCCAGGCACCCCCACCAGTGGACCTGGTCCCCTCTCCTGGTCTCATGCGGCCCTTCCCAGGCCCCACTGTGTCCAGGGAGCTGAGCTTCTGCAGTGCTGTGCAGCCTGGGCAAGGATGCACTGTGCCCAGACCTCCCCATGCTGCTGCTGCTGTGAGGCCTAAGGGAACAGTGGACACTGAGCACAGCCCCAGGGATGCAGGCGCCAAGTGCACCCAGAGCACCTGCAGCTGCTCTCCTGTGCCAGCCGCTGCCAAGGCCAAGGGAGCTCAACATACTGTTAAAAAATAATTTGCCACATACAAGCAGGTCATGCACAACTATGAACTTGGTACGCAAAGGGCTGAGATCAACTCAAAACTGTAATTTGCCAGGAAGAGCATTCACCAGTAGCTTCCAGTCCAACCAAACCTCTGTTGGCTTACACCGTGTTCCTGACGTCCCAACCACCTCCTGCTCAGCGCTTGGGAAGCACCCTTCCACAAAGCCCTCCACGGCCCCCTCTCTCACTCCCTCGTGGCAGGGATGCTAAGCCTCTTCAACTTGGCATGCTCAACAAGCTCAGGCTGGAGGAGAGGTGCCCGTGGGCTTGGTGGCTCCCAGCAGGTGCATCTGGGTTACTACGAGGTAGTCTAAGTGTCCCAGACCAAGAAAGGAGAGGTGACGGGTCTGCTGGAATCCGGGGGTGCCAGTGCAGCACTGAGTCCTCTGCCTGGCACACCCCAGGTGGGTCAACATGAACAGGCCAGCCTATAGCCTACTCTCCTAGGCTTTTTTGGCACAACTCCTTCCACATGTTAAAGTCCACTTATTGAAGGAGCACTGGAGTAGACTTAGCTTCCCAGGGCTCAGTACAGACATCTTTATTCTGAAGGTGAGAACCTAGCCCACACCCCACAGCACTGCCCCCCCACTTCAGCAGGGACTACAGAGGGTGACCATGGAAACTGGGGGGCCGGGGGGTGTCACTTTTGCAGCAGCCATCAGATAGGCTACAGAAGAGGGAAGGGGAGCCTCAAAGAAAGGCGGGAAACAGGAGTCCATCTTGGGGAACCCTGGGTTTAGTTGGGAGAAGTGAACTCTGCTGTGAGTAGAGATGACGATGGCAATGGCAGCACACAAGTGGAAGGTTATGGCACCTCGGCTTCATGGCAACTAGGGTGTGGGAACCGCTCTCCCTGAGCACTCAACTCTGGGCAGCAACAAACCCAGGGCGCAGTAGGAGTCCTGCACCCAGGAGGAAGCAAGGTGCTGCAGCCCTGAGACCCAGGAGGTGACTGCCACACGTCAGCTTGCCTGGCATCGAAGGAAACCAGGCACGAGCATGTCAGGCCTTCAGGAATGTCCACTCACTGACCTCTCCCTGGGACCGCAATCTGGTTCGAGACTTAGAGAAGAAAGGTCTGGGGCAGCGGGGCCAGCGGGGCCAGCGCACACGCTGAAGCCACTGCAGTCAGTCCACGCCCTGGCCTGAGCAGCGTCGTCAGCCCACCAGCTGAGATGCACACCTTCTACACCCCTCCAGTCTCACTTATGGAGAGCACTGGAGACCAGGGCCGACCTGTTCGGGGCACCTGGAGGCCGCCAGGAACCTCTGCATTCTAATGTATAGGCAAGACTCACGACGCAACAAGAGAGTCAAGCCACAGGAAGCACAGGGTGCCCCGCACAGGACGACCGCGGGCATTCTCTGCATTCAGCCAGCCAGGCAGGGACTAGACAGGGAACACTGCCCGAGACAAGACGAGGGCACTACACACTGTTCACCAGAACAGCTGTCTCCACAAACTCGGTGCCCAACGCCTGGACACTGGGCACCGTCTGACCACTGCGACCACTGAACCAGCAGGAAGCAGCCGACGAGAATCCAAACCACCTCTGGCGGCACAGGCGACAGCAGCCGAGGCTCCGGCGTGGAAGGAAGGTCTTGTTTTCTCACACAGAAGGGGCTGGGCCCCACATTCCTACATGTGCTCTCATGTGCTTCACTACGTCCGGAAGGCCACCCAGCCTGCAGGGAGACCCTCCATCAGCTGCATTTCTCACAGCATATAAAAAAAATCAGACAGGATACAGAGCAGAACACGACTCGCGTGACAACGGCACACTCTATACGTAGTCCAAAAAGTTAACCCAACTTCAAGACACAATTTTGTGAAGGAAAAATTTTTAAAAGATTTATTAAAGGCAGGTCAACTTATAGAGAGGAAAGACAAAGATCTTCCACCTGCTGGTTCACTCCCCAAGTGGCTGCAAAGGCTGAAACGGAGCCAATCTGACGCCATGAGCTTCCTCCAAGTCTCCCACAGGGGTGCAGGGTCCCCAGGCTTTTTTTTTTTTGCTTCTATTGCTTTCCCAGGCCACAGGAGGGGGCTGGATGGGAGGTGCCAGCCGGGATTCCAGCACTTGCACAGTGAGGATTTAGTCACGGAGCAATCACATCGGACCCAATTTTGTGAAATGTAATTTGCCCAAGCACACACCTCCCTTCCCTCCTTACTCTTGGGACACCAACACAGTAGGTTTTACCCACTGTGGCACAGTGCCAGCTAACAAATATCTTTCAAACTTCTTCCTCAAAGACAGACTCAGTTTCTGTTTGGTTTTTTTTTTTTCCCCAGTATTTGGGAACAGAGGCACTCGTTACACAGGGTGAGAACATCTTAACTGCCAGGCCAGATAACCGCCCCCAAGACCTCAGAGCAGAGAGAAGCCGGGGACCACTTGGAAACCCTGTCAGGGAAGGACAGCTGCACCTGCTCAGGAAAAGTAGCCTGCAACTTGAGTCACCTGTTAAGGCAGGCAAGAAAGGAAGGATGGGCAACATAGCAGCTTTCAATTAAACAGGGAACAGGGAAGCTGCTTCCAGAAACCACCGAAGCCTCCTGCACACACTTATACAAACACCAAAGTAAGGAAAAAGGAGGATACACACACGGGGCTACGAGTCAAAGGAAAACAAAATGGCGTGGGGGATTCTGTCTGCTCTCAGAAACCTCAAGAGGAAGCCTGGCACTGCAGCCTAGTGGCTAAAGTCCTTGCCTTGCACACTCCAGGATCTCATATGTGCACCGGCTTATGTCTCGGTGCTGGTTCATGTCCCAGCTGCTCCACTTCCCTTCCAGCTGGGAAAGCAGTAGAAGACAGCTGTAGCCTCATGGAAGACCCAGAAACAGCTTCTGGCTCCTGGCTTCAGTGACCACCTGAGGAGTGAATCAGTGGATGAAGATCTTCCCTCATCTCTCTCCTGCTCTCTGCATATCTGACTTTCCAATAAAAATAAATCTTAAAATAACAAAAAGGAGCCTCAGGAGGGCAGCAAGCAGAGCAGCCCAAGCACCCCCGTACAGATCACATGTTCCCGCAGGTCTCAGCAGAGACCCCCGACACAGGAGACGCGATAGAAGGATCCAGAGAACAAAGAAACCCACGCTCACAGGTGAAAACTGGATGAACAATTCAAGCACGAGACACTGATACTAAAAGTGGAGATTCAAATAGAAAAGTTTAATCTTAATGGATTAACTGGATAAAAAACAATGAAAGTCGGTTAGCAAAAGAACACTAAACTAAAGACAATGAAATGGATATAAACTTACAAGAAAAAGGATCCACAAAGTTAAATCGTTGGGTCCTGGAAATATTAACAAAATTCTGGTAATAACTAATCTAAAAGGGAAACACAAATACGTGACAGCAGAAGTGAGGGGGCCGGAACAGCCTGGGCCTGACCAGCGCCGGCGGGGCAAGCATTTCAGGAGTCAGCTCTCGAAAACCTGCATCTTACCAACACTGACTACAACTCTAGCGAGATACTTCAGAGTCCCAACAAACATTCAAGGAAGAAGTCATTTCAATCTTACAAAGTCTTCTGTAGAGGAAAAAAAAAAAAAAAAGACAAGCAAAACAAAACAACAACATCCATTTTAAGGATTCCGAAGCCGGCAGGGAGCGTGCACAAGGCAAGCCGAGAGATGAGCCACTCTTGCTCCCAACCGGCACACGCAGACTAAAAACAGAATGAAATTCCACACGAAGTTTGCCATACTTAAGACTTAGAATTTTTCTGAAAGATTTTTTTTTAAGATTTATTTATTTTGGGCCCGGCACGGTGGCGCAGTGGTTAAGGTCCTCGCCTTGAACGCCCGGGATCCCATATGGGCGCCGGTTCTATCCCGGTAGCCCCGCTTCCCTTCCAGCTCCCTGCCTGTGGCCTAGGAAAGCAGTCGAGGACGGCCCAAAGCTTTGGGACCCTGCACCTGCGTGGGAGACCCAGAAGAGGCTCCTGGCTTCGGACTGGCATAGCACCGGCCATAGCGCTCACTTGGGGAGTGAATCATTGGACGAAAGATCTTCCTCTCTGTCTCTCCTCTCTGTATATCCGCCTTTCCAATAAAAAAATAATAGAAACAAATCTTAAAAAAAAAAAAATTTATTTATTTTTATTGAAAAGTCAGATAGAGAGGAAGATTTTCCATCCAATGATTCACTTCCCAAGTGAGCGCAACAGCCGATGCTATGCCGATCTGGAGCCCAGAGCCCAGAACTTCCTCCAGGTCTCTCACACGGGTGCAGGGTCCCAAGGCTTTGGGCCGTCCTCGACTGCTTTCCCAGGTCACAAGCAGGGAGCTGGGTGGGAAGTGTAGCTGCCGGGATTAGAACCTGTGCCCATACGGGATCCTGGCGCATTCAAGGCGAGGACTTTAGCTGCTAGGCCAAGGTGCCGGGCCCAAGATTTATTTTTATCAAAAAGGCAGATTTACATAAAGAAAGGGAGAGAGACAGAGAATCTTTTACCCACTGGCTCACTCCCCAAGTGGCCAAAACGGCCAGAAGCTGAACCATCTGAATCCAGGAGCCAGGAGCTTCCTCCAGGTCTCCCACAGGTGCAGGATTCCAAAGCTTTGGGCTGTCCTCTACTACTTTCCTAGGCCACAGGCAGGGAGCTGGAAGGGAAGGGTAGCAGCCAGGAAACCAGGACCCATAACGGATCATGGGGCGTCCAATCTGAGGATTTTGCCACGGGCCCAAGACTTAGAAGACCATCAAATAAGCAAGTGAATAGAACAAAGATTTCCAGGGGCTGGTGCCATGATGCCAGCAGTGAGCACCCCACGTGAGCACCACTGCTGATCCAACTTCCTGCCTGGGGATGCAGTCCTTGGGCCCTTATACCACACAGGAGACCCAGAAAAACTCCTGGGTTTGAATTAGCTCAGCTCCAGCCCACGCAGGGAGTGAACCAGCGGATGGAGGATCTTTCCCACTCTTTCTCTTTGTAAATGTTTCCAATAAAAAATATTAAAAAAATAATAACAAATTTAAATGCTGTAAAACTTGACAGCGGAGAGAGCAGGGACCAGTCTTACGTCACGGCAGGCAGCCCGTATGGGGGTCTCTGCTGCTCTGCTTCCCACCAGTTCTCAGCTAACGCCTGGCCGGCGGCTGGGCCGTCCTGGGAGTGAACCAGCAGGGGGAGCTCTTCTCTGACGTCCCTCAATCCTGTTAGGAATCTGAAACTAATAAAGTGGTGGTAAGGAAGTGGAATTCCAAGAATCTTAAGACACTGATTCAAAGGTAAAACTGGAGGGCCCCAAGCGTTCACCTTGCCTGCGCTGGGATCCCATATGGGCACTGGTTCCTGTCCCCAGCTGCTCCACTTCCCTTGCAGCTTCCTACTCATGGCCCACAGCCTCGGGAGCCTGCACTCAAATGGGAGACCAGGAAGAAGTTCCTGGCGTCGGATCACTCAGGTCTGGCTGCTGCAGCCACTTGGGAAGTGAACCAGCAGATAGAAGATCTGTCTCTCCTTCCCTCTGTAAATCTGACTTTCCAATAAAGTAAATAAATAAACGATTCTTATAAAACCTGGAACAACTTGGCAGAAAACAGGGATTAACACAGTGAAACTCCAAGGGACTCACAATGGGCGACCCAGGAAAGCGCCATTCTGTCAGCCTGAGGTAGTGAGGAGAGCTGAGCGGGGGGTCTCACCAGGCACCCCCCGGCATCTGACAGCCCTCTCAGGACTTCTAATCACTCAGGGGGCTTTGAGACCCTTCGAGCAGGAAACATCCCTCTACATGCAGCTTCTCTCCCAAGAGCTCACCGGGTGTTTGGAAAGCAGCCAGGGTTGTGAGGCAGCAGGCATCCTCTCCCCAACACAGCACACTGCCTCTGTGCGTCAAGACAGCAAACTGAACCTGCCCCACCAGTGGCTGATGGTCACCCTCATTCTGGAAAGACACACTGCGCCATCTCCCCCAGTCGCCCGTGCACCTGACCTCACCGCTGGACCAGCCCTGCTTAGGCTGAGCACACAGATCTACGCAGAGAATCCCACACAGGTGTGTTTCTTACTACAAATTACTAAACTGGCATTTGGACTAAGCAATTGTTTTTCAGCTAGGAAAACAGCAGCCAGCTTGAGAGAAATCCTCTCAAACAACTAGTAAATGTGAGCCTGAATCCCACAACAGACAGCCCACCCCACCATTCCCCCCCAACCAGGACAGACGGCCCACCCCGCCATTCCCCCGCAACCAGGACAGACGACCCACCCCGCCATTCCGCCCCGACCAGGACAGACAGCCCACCCCACCATTCCCCTCCAACCAGGACAGACGGCTCACCCCGCCATTCCCCCCCCCGCCCCGACCAGGACAGACGGCCCACCCCGCCATTCCCCCCCGACCAGGACAGACAGCCCCCACTCCACCAGGACAGACGGCCCACCCCGCCATTCCCACCCCACCAGGACAGACGGTCCACCCTGCCATTCCCCCCCACCAGGACAGACGGCCCACTCCACCAGGACAGATGGCCCACCCCACCAGGACAGACGGCCCACCCCACCAGGACAGACAGCCCACCCCGTCATTCCCCCCCCACCAGGACAGACGGCCCACCCCACCATCGGGACTGCTCCTGCAATTCCATCAGTCTCCGCCTCCCAACTGCAGACCTCTTGAGCTGAGCGCATGTGCCCTTCACCAGGTGAAGGAACCTACGTAGCGCGCTGCAGGCAGCACAGCTTCCATCAGCTACAGCACCAGACTGAAGACCCAACTGAGACTCCCCAAGCCGCCAGGGCCCAACTGGCAAAGGTCAGACAGGCCTACTCCGCAGGCAGCCAAGTCACAACACATGGTCTTCCCGCAAACTTTTGATGCTAGGTTTCAGTCACTGAATGAATGAGCTCAACCCAAGCTGCAACCTTGATTTGGAACCTGTCATTGAGGTCTGACCTTGGTGACACTCGGGAACAGCCCCACACACCCTGAAGCACTTACCACAACGGAGTCATTGTGGGTCAGGTCGACCACCACCGGCTCCAAGGATTCACAGGTGAGGTCCACGATTTCATCTCCGGCTGCAAAAGCAAGCAGCCCGGCACACATTAGGGTGCATCCCTCGAAGCTTCATCAGCATGGCACACACGGCTACCAGCGTCTACCTAACTACAGAGCATCAAGACCAATGCATTGCTCAGGAGCAACAACCAACAGCCCAATGTACTCCCAGGGCTCCCCGGCAGATGGTGTGTGAGGGGAGTGCACGCTCATTCTCTCCCCATGGGGTGTCACCACCACGCGCTATGCCTACACCTGGCCTGCACCTACACTGGGCATGCGCAGCTCAGAGCCTTTCTCTTTGGGATGGACCAGACTGAAACCCCTGGGAGAAGCAAACCCCTCACTAGCAGCAAAGATGCGGAGTAATGCTTAACGCAGCGCCTGTCAGCGACCCCTGGGATGCACTTCAAGCCCCGACTCTCTCTAGCACCTCTCAACTCGAATGGGTAGAGCACAGATGGATGGTAACAGTTACTCATCTTCTAGAACCCAACATGTCAAACGTGTGGGGCCTAACAGGCGGTGGGCCTTAGAGCAGCACACCATGATGGCAGTCACTTCTGGCAGCTGGCAATAAGGAGCACAGTGCCGTTCCATTTATGCCATGCTTGTTTCCGGTAACTTCACACACTGTCCGAGGTTGGGGCGCGGCATGGAAAGGCGCCGCTTGGGATGTAGGCAGACAGCCGTGTGAACACTGTTTCAGCCTGTAGCTGTTCCACTTCTGGTCCAGCTCCTCAAGGGCCAGGGGAAGTAGGAGAAAGTAACCCAAGTGCTTGGGCCCCTGTGGACATCCAGCTGGGGCCCCAGGCTCCTGCCTACAGCCCCGCTCAGCACTGGTTGGGGCCATCTGGGAATGAATCAGAACAGAAAACAAAAACCCTTCAATTCTTCCACAATAAATCTAAACAGTGAAGGCGTGAGCTTAGAATAGCAGGTTTGGCATCGGTCTACTAGTCTGGCTCCTGTACTAACAGGCTTCACAGGGCTTGCCTCTGGCCCAGCGGTGAGGCCTGTGTCCCAGGCTGCAGGCTCTGCATTCATCTTCCGTGCTGGCTCCTACTTGCAGCTTTCCAGAACCCAGACCTGGGAGGCAGGAGGAATGTACCCACGGCCACGGCCTTGACCGAGCTGCTGGCTCCAGGATCTAGGCAGGAAGTGGGAACCACAAGATGGGAGCTCTCTCCATCTTTCTCCTCAAGTAGGCTTTTTAACTTAAGAAAAAAGCTTCACAAGAATAAATATGCGGCTGGTGTGTTGGCTCAACTGGCTAATCCTCCACCTCCAAGCAAGGCATTCCATACGAGTGCCAGTTCATGTCCCTGCAGCCCCACTTCCCATCCAGCTCCCTGCTTGTGGCCTGGGAAAGCAGTCGAGGACAGCCCAAAGCCTTGGGACCCTGCACTCACGTGGGAGACCCGGGAGAAGCTCCTAGGGTCCGTCCACTGTGGCCACTTAGGGAGTGAATCAGCAGATGGAAGATCTTTCAGTCTCTCCTCTCTTGTAAAGCTGCCTTTCCAATAAATATAAACACACATTGGAAGAACTACTACAAAACACCAGCTTATTTGAGAGATGGAGCAAGGGAAGGGAGCTGCAAAGGCCAGAATTTGAGTACCTCGGGTCACCACACAGCACCCCAGGGTGGTAGCAGGAAGTTGGACCCAGGGTCGACTCCCAGCATCCTGCCTCCATGCCAAGCGCCCACCATGACCTGCTTCTAACTGAGAAGAAAGGCCACCAGCCTGCCCATCCTGACAAGCAGCTTCGTCCAGGACCCAGTCCTCGCCTTGAACACAAGCTCTGCTCACAAGGTGAGATCAGGGCTCTCCTGGAAAGCAGGTGGGCTTCCCTGGGCCCGGGACCCTCGGCCCTCCAAGACACCACTGTGGGTGCAGGCAGGTCCCAGCCTCGGAATGCAAACTGAAGGCCTCCCGAGAGTCAGACACTACAAGGGCAGACAGGGAGAGCACCAAGCGTGGCCGACACCAAGCCTCCTGGCTGCAGCTCTCCTGTGTATTTCTATTTATTGGAAAGGCGGGTACAGAGAGAAGGAATTAGGTACAACAGCCAGGGGCTTCCTCTGGGTCTCCCACGCCACCTCCCAAGGCTGCAGGCTGTCCCCCACTGCTTTCCCAAGCCACAAGCAGGGAACTGAGAGGGGAGTGGAGCAGCTGGGATACAAATTAATGCCTACATAGGATCCCAGTGCATGCAAGGCTGAGGAGTTAGCCACTAGGCTACCACACTGGGTTCTGAATGAAGCTTGTGAGTGAGCTGGCAGCAGCTTGGGACCATCTTACAGACCCGGTAGTGGCTTCTTTGGCTGGCAGGTTCCGCTGCTGATCCCCGTCTAGCTCCACAAACGTGCTCCCCATCAGCCAACTCAGCCTCCCCACAGTCACAGCATTCCTCGACCACTTGACCAGCTCACCAGTTTCCACAAGTTCTATGGGTTCCGCTTCCAAGGCGATCTCAGGAGTAGAAGCTGCTTCCCGGGTTCGCTTCTGGGTTTGTCTAGAATTTGCTGTCCCACCACGACGCTTTCTCTGAAGGTACCAAGGAGAAAAGAAACAGTCAAGAGCTCTCCTGCACAGCGTCTCATCGCTGCCCATGCTGTTCACAATGAACTCAGGAATCCCAACCAGCTTTCTTACATCAAAGGCCAAACTGCAGACAAAGGGGGGGCTGAGGGAACAGGCCATTCCCAACAGCGCACCCTGAGCACGGCAGCACCCCCATCACCGTGTTCCGGGTCTCATCCTGCACCCCACAGCCTGCTCAGCACCTCAGGAACAAGCTACACACCCCCATCACCCCCCAGACACACAGCACCTCAGGAACAAGGTTTGTATCTGGTCTGAACGCAGCAACTCAAACACTTGTTCTGCATCTAGGTCACATGACGAGCCTGACGCGGGCACTTTGGACTGACAAAGGGGCTGGGGGATCTCCATGCAAGTAAAGCTCAAGAGGCTCCAAGTGACACGGGGTTAAATCCGACCATCGCGCGGTGCCGAACTAACACACGGACGGCCCGGGGGCTGGAAGCCCCACCCCACGCTCCTCCTCTCTGGGCTCCACTCTCGACTGGTGCCACGCAGCTGCGGACAAGCGGACCCCGATGACAACGATGCTCACTCACTCTCCAAGCCGCAGGCTTTATGGAACATTTCAGAGCAACACAGCTGCTTGGCTCAGAAAATAACTGACAAGCTGGTGAAACTTACCGAGCTCATTGTGTTCAGAAAAGGACGTGACCTCGAGGTGAGGCAGAAAGCTGCCGATGTCCGCCCGTCAGGCCACCTGGACACACATCCTTGGGTTTGCACAACCTGGGTCCACACAGATTTCCACAATCTTCCAGCCCTAAAAGAACAAACAAGCTGTTGAGTAGCCACTGCCCCCCGCCTTCCTGCCACCTACTGAATACTTTGTGCAAGTTACGTCCTTAATACCAAGTCATCTTTTTTTTTTTTTTAAACTGGAAAGTCAGATTTACAGAGAGGAAGAGAAATAGCGCTTCCATCCACTGGTTCACTCCTTAAGTGGCCACAGTACCCAGAGCTGAGCCTATCCAAAGCCAGGAGCCTCTTCCGGGTCTCCCACGCGGGTGCAGGGTCCCAAGACTCCGGACCGTCCTCTACTCTTTCCCAGGCCACAGGCAGGGAGCTGGATGGGAAATGGAGCAGCTGGGACTTACGGGCGCCCATATGGGATTCCAGCGCAGGCAAGACAAGGACTTTAGCCACTAGGCTACCACACTGGGCCCTGGGTTCAATTTTCTAAGATGAAACTGGGCAGTGCCCTCCAGCTCCAGGCAAGGGCCTAGGCTGCCTTCTGCCGAGGCAGTGTTACACTGCTAGGAGAAAAGCAGCTAGGGCTAGTGGGCATCTTGGGACCTGGTGAATGCCAAATATGTGTTAACTATTCCAGCACACCAGCAGAGTTGCTTATTCTTCCATTACTATTATTATTATTAAGATAAGTGAGGATCAGACAGATACAGGAGGAAGAGGGGGCAGAGCTGGAAACAATGGTTCGCCCACACTCTCCTAGTCCTCCACCTTCCCAACCTGGTCAACTATGCAAACATCATCAGAAAAATAAAAATGACAGATAAGTGGAGAAGGCCAGGACATGCCACCCTGGTCCTAGGTGGCGGGGGTGGAGGGAGAGGGAGGCAGACTGCCCAGGGAGGGGGTCTAAGGACATACTGGAGAGAGAGCCGCTGAGGGCATGTCTGGCAGGGGACTCCCACACACTGGGCCACTGCACTTGCAGGCAGGCAAGGGAGTGAGACGGAGTGTTTTTAGAGGAGAAACACAGCGATGTCCAAGTCAGAACAAGGTACCCGTCCACGTGGGTGGGCTGGGCTAAACAGCATCACCTACTGCCCAATGGTGCTCTCAAAATCTGGGGCTGGGGGGACACGCCTAGCTGGCCATAGCACTCACCTGTAGGCCCCATCTCCCAAGGCTTAACTCCACAGCTTAGCTTGTTTCTCAAGGTGTAACAGGATGGGCAATCTTGGCCTGATACACCCGTGGCTTGACCGCAAGCTCCCCCTTCCCTGCTTCCCCTTTGTAAGATGCCCTGGGGGAGCTTAGGAGTTGCTTCAGCATTGGGAAAATACTGGGAGGAACCAGGCAGACTGTAAAAGAGGCATGTTCACCTCAAATAAATGGCATTCTCTTTACAAGAATGACCCACTGTGTGTTGTCTTTTTTGTAACCCCACTCCGCTGGGCTCGGGGTACACGTGGGCGTTGCCGACACCCACCAAAACACTACAATCTGGAACTGGGGTCAGATTCTGCAGGAGACTGGTCTATGCACAGAGCTCAGCTGGTGACAGGCTAAGCCAGGTTGCACCACAGAACCCACCAGCACATGCAAGGTCAGGACCAAGGGCTACAGTGCAAAGCAGGACCATTGCCCCTACTTGCACAGATGAGGCCCAGGGCTGGGGGGAGCCAGACTGGGCTAGGCTATAATACCCATTAGGGAGAGCCAGAATAGGTGCGGGCAGGTCAGGCTAAGCCACATTATCCATCAATGAGTGCCAGGACTGGGAACCAGCCATGCCAGGGCAGCAGATCTGTTGCTGGGGGCAAGTCTTGTAGAGGAACTTGGGGCACTCCCCTGCCAAGCACAGCTCCTGTCTGTTAGTGCAAACCCGACTGACAACAGGCTAGAGCATGCTGGACCAGTTCACAGCACACAATGGCATGAGGGAAAGCCAGGATAGGGACAGATCAGGCCAGGTCATCTCAGACGGGGCTGCAGCACCTGCTGGCACACACAAGACCTGAGGCTGGGAGCGGGCCTTGTAGGGGAACTGTGGGGACTCCTCTGCTGGGCTGCAGCTCCCACTGAGAAGTATGAGAGCTGGCACCAGGGGTGGGCCAGACTGGGATAGGCTGCTGCACCTGTTGGCTTGCACAAGAACCAGAACCGATGCAGGCCAGCAGGGCTGGATGGCAGCACCACTAGCAAGTGTGAGCACTGGGTGTGAGTCACAGCTGGGCCACACCCCTGGCAGGTACAAGATCTGAGGCAGGCAACATGCCTAGAGGGAAACTGTGGCACTCGCCTGCTTATCATTGCTGAGTACAAGAACCAGGGCTAGGGACCGTCAAGATGGATGCAGCAGCAGCACCTGTCAGCATACAGGGCCAGGTAGGGTTTGGCTGCATTACAGGCTGGCATATGCAAAAACCGAGTCTGGGGGTCAGGCTTGATGGGGCTATTGGGAGTTGCCCCGACTAGGTCACTGAACCTGCTAGTATGCGTAAGGACCAGGTCTGTGGCGGGTTGCCTGGGTGGCGCCATAGCAGCCATCAGTTCACATGAAAAATGGGGCTGGGGACAGAACTGACCAGGCAGCTGCACCCAGCAGTATGTGTTAGCTGACAGACTGAACCTGACCCTGCACTAGCTGGCGCACACTAGAGTCAAGTCTGAGGGTCACTCCAGGCAGGTTTCTTGGGGGACAGCCCAACTGGATGGCTGGACTCCAACCACCTGCCATAGGGACAATCACAGGACATGCGGTCCAACCTTGACTTGCCTGTGTCAGGACTAGGCCTCTTGGTGTTGTGATGCCCGTGCAGTGGACAGCATGTCTAGACGCATATGGGAGCATGACAGCCAGCTCATCGAGGCCAGCAGGGGACATCAACTGCCTCCTCAGAGAACAGAGAGCAGAACAGGTAAGACGAGTCTCCTGTCAAGCTTCGCAACACAGTCCTAGGTCTGTGGATGCACCAGGACGGACTTGTTCAACCAACAGACCTTGGAACAAATTTCTCAACCCTGGTGCAATGAAACCAAGAACTCCCCCCAAACTATCGAAGCCACTCAAGAAACACCCTCAGAACACACTTCCCCCATCAGGGTCTCTAAGGTGTCAAACACCCACCTCCCACCCCTGGTTGAGGCAGTCTGACAGTGAGGAGTGACAACTGATTCGGCTCTGTAGGGTGACAGTTACTCCCTAATCCTAACAAAACAGAAGGGTCCTCCCAGGCAGGGACAGGAATGCCCACAGCCAAAAGCCAACTCCATCAGGAAGAAGCACACAGAAGAAAAACAAGCCACCAAGCGTCCCATCACCTTCCTCCATGCCTGACCCAAAGGCCCGCCGGAGCACGCGCCCAGCAACTGTGAGAACACCAACAAATTAAGAAACTGGACAGCACCAACTCACATTCCCCTCGTGCTCACACTTTTCTGAAACACGTTAATCCCGCAGCCCACAGAACAAGGCCAGCTTCCTGAAGAGCCTGAGCCGCCACCCACCGGCTGGCTCCCTCTTTCAGCTTAGTTTCTGTAGTTTCTTGGGTTCCAAGCAACTTCTCTAGATTTTTCCCTACAAGGAGGGCCCTGCCACTCCCCCTACCTTGGCATAATTCTTTCCAATCCTCTAAGACTTGCCTCAAAGCTTGCTTCCATTTCTCCCACTCCTTTACTCTTCCTTAACATGATACACTTAACTCTGGATCAGGTACTTCCTATGGACTAACTTCTTATCCAGCAGTTGGCAAACATGTGAATAAAGTTAAAAAGCTTTTCGCCCCACTGAAATTATCAAGTTTATTACATGCTTAAAAGAGAACTGTTTTTAAGGGAAAAAAATTCAAAGATTTATTTTTATCAGAAAGGCAGATTTTATGGAGAAGGAGAGACAAAGATTTCCTATCTATGGATTCACTCCCCAAACAGCTGCTGACATTCCAAACTGAGCCGATCCGAAGCCAGGCGCCTCTCCCAGGTCTCCCACGCGGGTGCAGGGTCAGCGACTGCTTTCCCCCGCCACAAGCAGGGAGCTGGATGGGAAATGGAGCGGCCGGGACATGAACTAGCATTCATATGGAATCCCAGCATTTGCAAGGTGAGCCATCACATGAGGCCCAGGGGAAAAAAACAGATGAGGGAAAGTCTTATATTACCCACAGAGTCACCACAGGGATAAAAAAGAGAGACTTAGAGAAAAGCAATTTTTAAAAAATATTTACTTATATTTTTATTGGAAAGGGAGATATAGAGAAAAATACAAGATCCGTCTGCTGGTTCACTCCCCAAGTGGCTGCAATAGCCGAAACTGAGCCGATCTGAAGCCAGTGGCCAGGAGCCTCCTCCGAGGCCCTCCCAGGCCACGAGCAGAGAGCTGGAAGGGTGGAGCGGCTGGGACGCACCCGTACTCACATGGGATCTCAGCAATGCCACCACAGCTCATCACGCCAGCCCCAGGGACAAGCAGACTTCACGGCAGACACAGTGGGTTAAGCTGCCAGGATCCCAGGGGAGTGTGGGTTTGAATCCTGGCTATTCCAGCGGTCCAGCTTATTCCTGAGGCATCTGGGAAGGAAGTAGATGATGGCCCAAGCACAGGGGGCCCTGGCACCCACGTGAGAAACCCCTATGGGCTTTGTGCCCGTGGCTCCAGCCTGCCTCCTCCTGGATCTGTGGGTACTTGGGACAAACCAGCAGACAGAAGATCGTCACTAGGCCTTCAAAATAAGTAACACTTAAAAAAAAAAAGGCAAAACAAAATTGAAGTTACAAAGAATGGTGCAACAGCAAGCAGCGGGGCACGTTAGGCTGTGACACTGGCACAGTGGTGCCCTCTTCTCACCCAGCTCCATGCCAGGCCAGGGGAAGCAACAGAAGACGGCCCAAGCACCTGGAGCCCTGTCTTCACAGGAGACCCGGCTTTGGCCAGGCCTAGGAGCAGCCACGGCAGCCGTCTGGAAGTGTCCCAGAGGATGACAGATCTTTCTCTGGGTCTGAATCAACCTCCCTTTCAAACATGTGGCCAAGGGGCAGGTGGTGAGACACAGGAGACAGCGCCCATCCTGATTGGTAGCCCTCTGGAGAAACGGCTGTCACTGAGCCGAGCCCTTTCCTTGGAGAGGCTTGCAACCCGAGCCCCTCCCTCCCGTCAGGCTTCCTTTATCATCTGACGCTTCCCACCAGAGGAGCTTGCAGGCTGTGCCCCAGAACTGGAGGGCCCCCCAAGCTACAGCAGGCAGGGCCTCACTACAGGAGCCTCTAGGGACACCTGGGGCAAAGTCTTAACCATTAGAGAAAAGCTGCCATTTAACAGCCATTCTTGAACTTAAACCTACACAGAGGCTCACTCAGCAGCCAGCAGGCAGTGCGAGCACCAGCAAAGCGTGGTCGTCAGTTTCACTTCTGACTGCAAGCTAACACTCCCACCCACCCGGAAGCTTCCGGCCTTAACCCTGACTGTGGCCCCAAAAACTCATTCGCAAAGGGAACTGCAGAGACCTACAGCAGCATTCTCAAACCTCAGTTTTTGCCAAGGTAACAGCTTTACTGTTTATAAACACATAAGAAAAGGTGGCAGGAATGTTGATGTACAACTGATCACAGTCTGCGTATTGGGTAACTTCTTTCTGTTTAAAATGTAAAGGCCAGAGTTAGAGAGGAGGAGGAGGGAGAAGCTTCCATCTGACAGCCAGACGCCAGGGAAGCGAGGAGCCCGCAGCTTCCCCGGCCCTCGGGGTACAACAGGCCTGGGAAAGCAGGTGGCCCTGTCAGAGCTGGCACGGGCAGGGGGCAACGCGGAAGTGAGCCAGTCACTGGGCGTTAAGAACACCAGCTGCAGGAGCACGCGGGGACTCCGAGGCCCTCGCAAGCCCACGGCACCCTCCAGGAGCCATGCTGCCTTCCAAAGGGCTGTAGACTGCCGGGAACACGCAACACCAGAGCCAGCCTTCCCTCCGGCTCGGCCTCCTGCACCAAGTTCAGCCGCCAGTCACTGTCTTGGCTACTGTTCTCTTCCTCACTGACCCCAAAGTCACCGGTCCTACCCAACATCTTGCAGCACTCTGGCCACGTGACTTCCCAGCTTCCGCCCCAGGAGCAGTTCCTGGGCCTGTGCAGCCTGGGCCTCCCCGGGTCTTGCACAACCCTGCCCTTCCAGCCCCAGGAGAGCCAGCAGACTCCGCTTCTGCTCCCTGCTGTAACTCATCGCTGTCCGCCTCAAAACCACCATGCTGACCACACACACGTGCCTTCCCGCGTCTGGGGGCCCCAGGTGCTGTGCTGGCTTGACTGGCGTCCAGCTCCCTGCTGATGCGGGGGAGGACAGCAGCAGAGGATGGCCCAGTGCTCGGATCCCGGCCCCAAGCCCCTGGCTCCAGGTCCCACACTGCCGGCTCCCAGCTCCAGGTCCCACACTGCTGGCTCCCGGCTCTATGCTCCCAGCTCCAGGTCCCACACTGCTGGCTCCCGGCTCTATGTTCCCGGCTCCAGGTCCCACACTGCTGGCTCCCGGCTCTATGTTCCCGGCTCCAGGTCCCACACTGCTGGCTCCCGGCTCTATGTTCCCGGCTCCAGGTCCCACACTGCTGGCTCCCGGCTCTATGCTCCCGGCTCCAGGTCCCACACTGCTGGCTCCCGGCTCTATGCTCCCAGCTCCAGGTCCCACACTGCTGGCTCCTGGCTCAGCTCAGGCTGTTGCTGCCTTTTGGGAAGTGAACCAGCAGGCGGAAGCACTCCCTCTTTCTGTATACACACACCTTTCCAATAAAGCCTTCTTTTTTGAAAAGATAAGGTTGTTATAAACACTTTTTCAGTCAGACTCAGAAAACAAAAGTTCAAGCATCAGAGAACCAGCAATTCGTCCTCGAGTAACATACAGCCCGGAGGTCCCCTGCCCATCGCCCAGCAAGCCACCATGGCACCCCACCCACCTCAGGCGCGGGGACGCCTGGTCAGCGAGCCCCCGGTCAGTGAGGTACCCCGGTTAGCGAAGTCCCCCGGACAGGAGAGCCCCCACGGGCCAGCGAGGCCTCCCGGGTGAGCAGAGCCCCTGGTCAGCGAGCCCCCGGTCCAGCAGAACCCCCCGGACAGGGGAGCCCCTGGTCAGCTGAATCCCCGGCCAGCTGAGTCCCCGGTGAGCGGAACAGCGCGGGACACGCCCACGGGGGCCAAGGTTAGACAAAAGCTCAGCTCCCACGGACGCGGCCCTGAGCACAAAGCAGACGGTCGCCACGACCCCACCACACCGCCTCCCGGGACCCCGGTCGCGCACGCCCCCTCGGCGGGAGGCCTGGCGCCGGGGCCGCCTCGCGACCCCCGCGCCCGGGATGCGCCCCGAGCCGCCGGCGCCGGGCCGGCGCCGGGCCTACGCCAGGCCGCGCCGCCCCGCCCAGCCGGGCCTTACTCGCAGCCGGTCCCGAGGCCCGCGAGGCGCCGCGCCGTCCGCGCCCGGCAGCTGGGACGCGCCTCCGGCCAGCAGCTGAAGAGAAGAGACCTGAGGAAGACGCCGCCGACTCGGCCGCGACCCACTTCCGCCCCGGAGGCCTTGGCCCCGTCGCCGGCACGGCCCCCCGCGGACGCCGGGGCGGCAAGGCTATTGGATCCGAGCGACGTCCATCACCACTTTGAATGCGTCTCTTCCGGCCCCGCCCACGCCCGCGCGCCTCTATGCCCAGAGTCCCGCGAGAGACGGTGCTCGCGCCGTGTCCTCCCACAAAGCGTCTCGGGAGTTGTAGTCTGGCTGCTGGCTGTCCCCCAGCTGGCGAGCCGGTGGTCTCCGGAGCCCGGCGGCCGCCGAGCGACCCCATCGCTAGTCGCGATGCGGGGAGGAGACTTCTGTGAGGAGTATTCCCAGGGGCACAAGCTGGAGGCCGCGCCTGGGCCTACACTCGCGCTCAGCCCCACCTCGGACCGACCCCCGGGGGTCCTGGTCAGAAGGCCCTCGAGCACGCGTCTGGAGGAGCTCCCCGGAGGACCCGGGAACTGAAGCCCCGGGAGATGGGCAACGAGGAACCTGTGTCCCTGGGAGCAAGGGGCTGGGGCGAGGCCGGCTGCCCAGTGGGTAGCCCAGGGCTGAGCCCGCCCTAGGGATGGGCCCAAGTCCCAGGTGGCCCCGGGCGGCCACGGCGGGTATCTGCTTCCCACCCTGCGGCAGGCCCCGGACCCCTGAGGGTCCCCACCTGTTGTGTGCAGGCACGCGCTGCGTGGCGACTGGACAGCCGGGGGCTGGCCCTCTAGAGCTGAGGCTCTGGGGACGCCTCTATGCCGTCTGGGCCTCGCTCTCTGCCTCCCTCGGCTCTGGCTTTCCCCCTAACTAGCTCTCTGGATTGAGGAGGTGCTGCAGGCCGCCCCACAGGGACCCCCAAAGCACGCCTGTTCCCTGGAGACGGCATCCTGCCCTAGGTCCGGCCCAGGGAAGGGTCAGAGGGCCGTATGGGCACTTAGGCCACTGGGATGCCAGGGACGAGACCCGCTGGTGGTTGGATGGCAATTGGCTCAGTTAGACAACTCAGCCAGTGCTCCCTGCCTTGTGATTGGTTGAATCTGTTGGTTGGTCTGGTTTTCAGCGAGGGGCCAATTGGAGCTACTTTGTGGACTGCAGATCCTTCCCCAGAGCCCCGCTCCTGTCTGCTGCTGATGTACTTTGTCGCTGTTGGTAAACCTCTCTCTGCTCTTGTCCCTCTCTGCATGGCAATTGTTGGGCAATAGCTGCAATCGCCTTCATGGGCCTGGCAACTATTGGGCATGCAGCCCCCAGAACTGGGCAACAGCTGACCGGCTCCTGGCTCTGCCCTGGCTCCCACTACCCGGGGGGGGGGGGGGGCAGTGATTGGCTCCCACTGTTCCAGCCTACTGGACCCAGTTTGGGGGGATGTGTGGTCATTGGGTGACACATGGACTTGCAGGTGGGGGCAAGGAGGGGAAGGCCCCTTTGTCCAGCCCTCTTTGTGTGGTCTCGTGTCTGGTCCGAGGACCCTTGCCTTGGGAGCGTCTTCTGGTGGTCTCACTTGAAGATTGAGTCCTGTCTGGAATGACCAGAGTGAAAACAGAACATGTATGTCTGTGATAGTTTGCTGTTTGAAAGGAAATTTGGTATGGCAGATATTTGATGAATCTGATCCTGCTGCAAATTTTTTTTTTAAGATTTTGCTTTTTCTAGGTCGAAAAGTATGAACGCTTTTAACATTTTTATTGGAAAAGGCAGATTTAAAGAGAAAAGGAGAGATGAAAGATCTTTCATTTACTGGTTCACTCCCCAAATCGCCACAACAGCCAGAGCTGAGCTGATCCAAAGCCAGGAGCCAGGAGCTTTCTGTGGGTCTCCCACGTGGGTGCAGGGTCCTCCGCTGCTTTCCCAGACCACAAGCAGGGAGCTGGATGGAAATGGAGCAGCCTGGATGTGAACTAGTGCCCACAGGGCACACAGCGCTTGGAGCTAGAGCACTGCCAATTGAGCCATTGTGCTGGCCTCCAAAAGTGAATGTTTTCTAGTGTTTGTGATGATAATAAAAGAAGGAAAAGTTTAAGGGAACTGCCATTTAACACAGCTGTGGGAATTATTTAAATGCCTCAGATAGCAGACAGCTGAAATGCTAAAAATGCTGTTCTATAAGGTATTGAATGCAGCTGCTACTGTGAGAGCATCTCCACTCATGACCTAGCTCATGCATGAGGATTAAAACATGGTGCAGGGCCCGGCAGTGGCCTAGCGGCTAAAGTCCTTTCCTTGAACGCGCCAGGATCCCATACGGGCACCGGTTCTAATCCTGGCAGCTCCACTTCCCACCCAGCTCCCTGCCTGTGGCCTGGGAAAGCAGTCGAGGATGGCCCACAGCCTTGGGACCCTGCACCCGCATGGGAGACCTGGAGGAGGTTCCTGGCACCTGGCTTCAGATCGGCACAGCTCCAGCTGTTGTAGTCACTTGGGGAGTGAATCAGTGGATGGAAGATCTTCCTCTCTGTTTCTTCTCTCTGTATATCTGACTTTGCAATAAAAATAAACTAAATCTTTAAAAGATCGTGGTGCAAACATAGGCTGCGGTCATTCCTGACTTGAGCTTCCTTCAGGTTTTGTTTTTATCGGAAGCGCAGGTTTTACAGAGATCAACCCTTCTACCGCCGCTCTTGGGCCGGATCTTGAAATCCCCAGATAATCATCAACTCTGAAGTCGGTGCTAAGGCATGAAGGTGGTTTATTCAGGTTAGCCTGGGTCTCCCAGCCAAGGCTGCTGCAGGATCCACAGGGAGGACAAAAAGAAGCGCGAGCCAGAGAGCAAGCGAGCCCAAGCCCCCCAGTTCTTATACATTTCAGGCTATTAATTATACAGTCATGATTTAGCAGGCTGCTATTGGTGGATTTGAAACAAGCAACTTTCAAAAAGCACAAATCGATGAGCTATTGGGCTGTGAATCTTATCAAACACCAGGTACCTCCTTCCTGAGCAGTGGTCTGCTTGGTGACCTGCCAGGTGTCCTGCGGGGTGTCACGTAGACTATCAGGCCTGGAGTTCACACAGCCCCCAGCCGAGCCATTGAGGCAGAATCACAAAAGGCAGAAAGCACCTAGGTTCTTCACTGGTTCACTCCTCAGAGGGCCACGGCAGCTGGAGCTGAGCTAACACGAAGCCAGCAGCCACACGTTTTCTTTTGGATCTCCCACGCAGGTGCAGGGTCCCAAGGCTTTGAGCCATCCTCTCTTGCTTTCCCAGGCAATAAACAGAGAGCTGGATGGGAAGTAGAACAGCCAGGACACAAACCAACACAAACATGGGATACCAGGGCTGCAGACAGAGCAGTGGCCTACTATGACATGGTGCTGGGCCTCCAGCTTCCTCTGGCTATGGAGTTTGGGAGGCGGTGATGGGCTGAGTGGCACTCCCTGCATCCCTGGGAGGGACCTGGGTTGAGCTGTTACTCCCGCTGCCCAGCGCCCCTGCTGTGGACATTTGGGGAGAGAATTAATTGGTGGATGTGACCATCTTTTAAAAAGAAAAAAAAATTAAGTTAAAAATGGTTAAAAATGACTGGAGGGACAAATACAATGGAAAATGTAATTTGCATTTTACGGCCTAAGGAGTAGTTGGAGTTTTGTTCATTTGTAACTTTAATCTTAAGGCAGAGAGAGAAGCAGAACTTCCATCCTCTGGCTCACTACCCAAATGGCTGCAACAGGTGGGCGGGCAAGCCAGCTGCCCAGAACTCAACGCGACGAGGACAGAGGGACTTAGCCCATTGTTGGCTGCCTCCCTCGCGTGGGGAGCAGAGCTGGACACACCCAGCCACTCCCACAGGGAATTCTGGTTCTCCACCGCATTCCCCTTCCGACATTGCAGTAGGGCTATGACGCTGGAAAACAGGGCTCGAAGAACCTCAGTATCAAAATCCCAACCATTTGCTCCAGGCCTTTGCTACTGAGAAATGGAGCTTGCAGACCAAAGGCCTACGTGACCTTTAAGGAATCAAGGCCCACCTGCTCACAGGTGGCTCCAAGTGATTAAGTGGGTGCCTCCCTTAGTGGCTGGAGGCGTGGGCTATCCAGCCGAGATAGGCAGGAAATGTGTGGTATTTCCCCTCACCTTGCAGGTGAATTTCCTCTTTTCAAGCTATTGTGGACTGCCCCTGTAAAAACCCTATGAATGTGCTGTTTGGGGCCACAATCCTGGTAAGGAGTGTTGGTCCCAGCTAGCCGGTCAACCAGCTGCCTGCTTTCGACCAAGAACCCAGGCTCAGATGTGCTGAGTTTCAATAAGCCACCCTTGGGCGCTTGGATCAACTTTGGACTCCTGGTGATTTCTTGGGATCTCAAAATCTGGACACAACAGGGTACGCAGGGCCACCACGGTAGCATCTTCAGCTCTGCTGGCCCCCACCTTCTAGAGGGCTCAGGCAGGAGGCTGGGCCAGGGCTCCCCAGCTCCCCAGCTCTGTCGTGGAGGCCCTCACTTCCAGGCTGTAAGCTGCTTTGCAAACCAGAGGCCTGTGTTGTTGCTTGTGTACCTACCAGGGGAGCCCCAGCTGGCCTCTCCTGCTGGGGTCTGCTGGTTGTGGAGTGGCTTCCGGAACCAGGGTCTCTTCTACCGGCAAGTCACCCTGGGTGTGCTCATGCTGGGCCTGGGCAGGGTTTCAAGAGAACAAGTTAGAAGCCCGAGGCCATGTAAGACCCAGACTCTACAATCTGGGAGCCTGTCCCTTCTAGCTGCACTCTACTGACAAGGGCTAGCCAGGAGGCCAGCCGGATTCAGAGTCGAGTACAGGCTCGGCCTGCTGACCGAGTGTGTGTATGTGGACACAGAAAGACCTGTGCTGTCAACCACAGTACACCTATGCTCACTCCAGCTTCAGGGAACAGCCCAGCAGGCATGGAGAGAGGGAAGGCTCCCGGAGCACCCTTGGGCTGGGTGGCCCACACACAGGCTAGCCAGAAGCAAGGCTCCTCCCAGTACCTGTGCTGCTCTTCCATAGCTGGAGGGAGAGGGGAGGGGGCGGGTGTGCCTCCAGGACACACACACACAGCCCCACCCACCCCGCCTGCCTCCCAGGGTGCCCAGCATCCGGCCTCCTTTGTCCTCACTCCCTGCTGTTGGATCTGCCTTTCCCGCCTCCCGCGACGCTGGAGAGGGTCACTCCTGTGACGGTGGGGCCCCAGCTCCCTGCCCAGGTCATGGCACCTTCGAGCCCACCTTCCAGAGGGCTTCTGGGAGCCCTCAGGCCCGGATCTGGGCCCCCCACAGGCGCAGTCAGCATGCAAGAACACACGATGCCTAGGATTCAACTTTAATTCCATACAAAAAGTGGACAGTGGGTTAGCACGGATTTCTTTCTCCCGCGGGACACCCAGGAGCCGTCGGGCCTGCGACCTGGCCACTCGGCCCTGGCCACGGCTGCTGAGGACAAGTGCGCGCTGCAGCCCACGCGGGGGACTCAGGCGGCCTCGAGGCCACGCACGGGCCCCGCCAGCCCCGGGGTCGAGGGCCCCCGCTGCAGCGCCAGCAGTTTGCGCTCGCGGCTCCGCTGCAGATCCTGCCAGTGCTGCGCCTCGGCCAGGGCCTGCGGGGCGGCGGGCAGCCAAGTGTCGGCGGGGGCCTGCAGCTCCCGGCGCCCGTCCGCAGCCCAGGCTCGCCCCGGCTCGCCCTGGCTCACCCCTGCCTTGCGGCGCGCTGCTCTGGGCGCAGCCACGCGCAGCTGGGCCTCCTGCCTGCAGCGCTCCGCCGCTCGTTCCTGCACCCTGCGACGCAGCTCCAGCACGCGATCGTCCTTGCACAGGGGCCTTGGGGCCGTGGCTCGGGCTTTCTTCTCCTCCCACCTGGCCGGACACAGGGCGGGCTTAGCGGCCATGACGTGACCATCCAGACCCTCAGGGCCTCCGTGCAACGCGCGGCGCTGGCCGGAGCACCTCCACCCGTCTTTGCTCGCTTTTTCGGTGTCTTCTACGGGAGCGCAGGGCCCAGACCCTTGGCCCATCCTCCACTGCTTTCCCAGGTGTTTTAGCAGAGAGCTGGGTGATCAGAGGAGCTGCCGGGACTCCAACCGGGGCCATAGAGGTTGCTGGCATCACAGACGGAGGCCGAACCTAGTATACCATTGCATCAGCCCCCTTTTGCTTTTCAAATAAATAAATGCATAAATACTGTAAGTGGGGTGACTGCCCCTGGATCTCGGGGTCACCCATGGAGCCCACAGGTGCTCGATGGACCAGGGGCTTTTCAAGGCACTGTTCCCTGTCTCTGCCCCTCCAGTCTGCTTGTCCCAGCCACCACTGCCATCCTCTGTAGCATGTTCCTGTGAGCTGCCACCATGGGGTTGGCCTCAAACAGAACACAAGTGGCCAAGTGGGGCCACAAAGGCAGCCCAGACACGCCCCACCCAGTCCAGCTCCCGCCCCTGGGGCTTGTTGATGAGACCTCAGGGCCGCGGTCCGTCCCATGGCAGCACGGCACAGGGCGATCTGCTCCACGGTGTTGCGCAGCTCCTGACTCTTGGCACGCTTGCCCTGGATGATCTGGTCCCGCTTCTCCTCCTCCTCGCGCCGCTGGCTTTCTTTGAGCAGGGCCAGCCGCTCCCGCAGCTCCACCACCGACATCTCCCCTTCCAGACCATAGCCCGGGATCTGGGACACGGTCACTACGCTGGGCTGGGTGCCCAGGCCCCTCCCCTGTGCTTCCTGCAGGGCTGCTGGACCCTTCCACAGTGGCCTGCCCCTTGCCCTCTTGCTGGCCGTACCAACCTCCAGCCTGGCTACAGCTGCGTTCTTCCCACCCTGCCCCACTGCCCACCTCAGTGGGACTCTCCTGGAGAAGCCGGCCCTTGCCCGCCCCCCACCCACGCCATGAGCCCAAGGGTGTCTGTCCTCCCTGGCAAGTCCCTGAATGCTGTGACTCAAGCCTGCAGTCCAGTGGATGCTGAGGCCAGGGCCGGGCCCAGGGCTGTCTTTGGCCTTGGTGGCACTTGGTGGCACCGCGGGAGCAGCACTCCAGGGCCTCACCTGGGTCAGGTCCACCAGCTTGCCCTTGCGCGTGGGCTGCTTCTCCAGCGCCCGCAGCTGGGAGGTGAGCACCCAGCGTCGCTGCTGCTCCTCCCGGGCCGCCTCTGCCGTGCGCTGCAGCAGCTCCCGGCTCTGCTCCATCACTTCCTGAACTTGGGGGCCGGCATGGTGCTGAGGGGGCACAGGTCCCCCAGGGGAGCGCCCTGGGAGGCTCCACCCACACGAGGCCCTGGGTCCCTGTCATACCTGTCTCCCGGCGGTCCTGGAGGAGTTTCATCTGGGCCACCTTGACATTCCTCTGTGCCTCCATCACCTGCTCCACGAGCTCCCTGCAGGACCGGTCCTCCCGGAGATGCCGCTGTGCTCGCTGCAGCATCAGCTCGGCTGTCTGCTCAGGCAGAGGACCCACCAGGCTGAGCCCTGGGCCCCAACACCCGCCCCAGGCCTGAGGGCTCAGTCTGGACCCTCCCCCAGCTCTCCAACACTCCAACTGCCCAGCAGCTCAGGGCTGGGGGTGGAGGGGGAAATATCTGTGTATGTGTGAAAGGCTGAGTTACAAAGAGAGAATGAGAGAGAGATAAAGATCTTCCATCCATGGGTTCACTCTCCAAATGGAGTCAACAGCTTTGGAGTGGATCCCAAAGCAGGAGCCAGAAGCCTCCCCTGGGCCTCCCACATGGGTGCAGGGTCTAAGGATGTGGGCACTCCCCCACTGCTCCCCCAGGCACGTTAACAGAGTTGGATCAGAAGTGGAGCAGCCAGGACGGATACCCAGGGGACGCTGGCAAAGCAGGCGAGGCTTGGTCTGATTCGCTCTGGGAGGGGTGAATTTCTGCCCACTGGAGCCACAGGGAAGCCTAGGAGGAGACGCTGGGGGGTGGGGGGACAGGGGGCAGCTGCCTGGGAACTTTTCCATAAATCATTAACACTGCCTGGAAGTGAAAGGATTAAACACAACACTCCCTAACCCTAACTTTCTAAGAACCTGGGAGAGCCAACGTCCTTGAGGGACTGTCCCCAGAGAGTGACTGATAAAGACAGAACGGGGCCCAGGGAAGGACCTACTCTGCCTCAGCTCCACCACAGCCTGGCCTCTGCCCCAGCTCTCCAGGGTGGGCACACTGCCCTCACACTGCCCTCACACTGCCCTCACACTGCCCTGCCTGGCCTACGCCCCCGCTCCCCCATGAGGCCACATTGCCCTCACACTGCCCTGCCTGGCCTCTGCCCCAGCTCTCCAGGGTGGGCACACTGCCCTCACACTGCCCTCGCACTGCCCTGCCTGGCCTCTGCCCCCGCTCCCCTGCGAGGCCACACTGCCCTCACACTGCCCTCACACTGCCCTCACACTGCCCTGCCTGGCCTCTGCCCCAGCTCCCCCATGAGGCCACACTGCCCTCACACTGCCCTGCCTGGCCTCTGCCCCAGCTCCCCTGCGAGGCCACACTGCCCTCACACTGCCCTCACACTGCCCTGCCTGGCCTCTGCCCCCGCTCCCCCATGAGGCCACACTGCCCTCACACTGCCCTGCCTGGCCTCTGCCCCCGCTCCCCTGCGAGGCCACACTGCCCTCACACTGTCCTGCCTGGCCTACGCCCCTGCACCCCCATGAGGCCACACTGCCCTCACACTGCCCTGCCTGGCCTACGCCCCAGCTCTCCAGGGTGGGCACACTGCCCTCACACTGCCCTGCCTGGCCTCTGCCCCAGCTCCCCCATGAGGCCACACTGCCCTCACAGTGCCCTGCCTGGCCTCCGCCCCCGCTCCCCCATGAGGCCACACTGCCCTCACACTGCCCTGCCTGGCCTATGCCCCAGCTCCCCTGCGAGGCCACACTGCCCTCACAGTGCCCTGCCTGGCCTCTGCCCCTGCTCCCCCATGAGGCCACACTGCCCTCACACTGCCCTGCCTGGCCTACGCCCCAGCTCTCCAGGGTGGGCACACTGCCCTCACACTGCCCTCACACTGCCCTGACTGGCCTACGCCCCAGCTCTCCAGGGTGGGCACACTGCCCTCACACTGCCCTGCCTGGCCTCTGCTCCAGCTCCCCTGCAAAGCCACACTGCCCTCACACTGCCCTCACACTGCCCTGACTGGCCTACGCCCCAGCTCTCCAGGGTGGGCACACGGTGGGAGATGGAGCCCTCGGGCAGTGAAGAGAGGTAGACCACACAACTCCCTGTAAATGTCAGGGGAGGCAGGGAGGCAGTTCCGGGTTCAGGCAGAATGTGCCAGACGGGGGCACAGGGATTTGGACTCTGCCTCTCTCAGCCCTGGCCAGCTGTGTGGCCTCAGGCCTGGGCAGCAGGCTGGCTCAGGTCCAGAGTCCAGGGTCGCACCCCTGGCTCTGTCTCATTTGATGGACCTGGAGCCCAAAGCGGCTTCCCGTGGAGCTGGTGGGGCTGCCTAGGGGCACACACCCAGAGGAGCCTGTGGCTAGCTACTGGGGGACACCAGACTGAAAGCAGAGATCAGCCCTGAGGCTAGCCAAGCTGCAGTCCTGGTGCACGCCTCCTGTGGTTAGAACTGACAGGGCACAGAGCTGGATTCCAAGATCGCTCACCCTGACAACCAGCTTACGAGCTGTCCCTGGGGCTCAATGCCAATGAGGGGGTGCATCTAACCTGGAGCCATTCCACTGAGACAAACAGCAGCAAGCAACTAGCGGAGAGCACACAGGTGCCCACACCACAGGACAGAACGCCAGCTCTCGTCCAGACCCTGTGCCTTGTGGTCCAGCTCCCTGCAGGTGCACCTGGGAAGGCTCCAGATGACAGCTCCAGGGTTTGAGCCCTGCCACTCACAGAATGCAACCCAGACGCTAGCCCTGGCTCCTGGCTGCAGCCTGCCTCAGCCCTGGCTGCTGCAACCATCCGAGGAGTGAACCAGAAGATGGAACATCTCTCTCTGTGTTCCTTCATCCCTGTCACTCTGTCACACTTTTAAAGAAATAAGTACATAAATATTTTAAAAAACAACTATGCAGGGCTACCACACCTGTGCGCCTCAAGTGGCCTGGATCAGGGAAAAGCCGGGCTGGGCGGATCATTCCTACTGGTGCAAACAAAATTAAAGTGGGCGAGGGCTGTTTGGGCTTAGACGCTGCATCAGCTGGAATCTGGGAGTGGGAGAGGCCTGGGAGGGAAATAGTGGGCTCATCCCTCTTGGGTTTCCACTTCCACAGGACATAAAACTAAGATAGCGGCTGGGGTGGAATGGGGTGTGGCACAGACTGGATTACTGCTACACTTACTGGCAAACCAGGGTAGGGGGCGGGCCTGGTGGGGGTTATTGTGGGTCGCTCGGACTAGGTTGCAGCTCCCACTGGTTTATGTGAGGGCCAAGTATGTGCTGGGCAGAACCAGGCTGGACTGCGACACCCATTGGTTCCAGTGGAAGTTGGGAGTGAAAACAAAACCAACCCAGCAATTGCAACCACCAGCTGATTGGGGCGATGGACGGTGCCAGGCCCTGTACTTGCTAGCACATACAAGAAGTTTCTTTGGAGATCTTCCTAATCTAAATGCTGGACTCAGAACCCTAACGAAGAAAAGAGAGAAGACAGAACAGGTCAACCAACCATCTCAGCTATGATGGACTATGTCAATCAGTGGATTTTTCAAAGACCTCATAGTGCTTGGAGTGGCAAGATTGGCAGCGATTCATAACTGTGGCAATATCAAAACCACTTGAGCAAGAACCTCAGAGCATGCCCTACATCCGGGACCTGGGGAGGGTGGGAAATTGGGTGGGCCTTCTCCCTTAATACGCCCCGTTAAACATGAAGGTAACAATATGGAAAACATACTAATATTATCCACTTTCCTGTAGTCCTTGAACCTTCTTACCCTAATTAACTATGTATAGAATGTCAAAATAAATTTTATTAATTAAAAAATATATATATAAAAAATAAAAAATAAATAAAAAATCAACTATGCAAACTTTGTCCATGTTATTCAACATATCTACTTATTTGTATGTGTTATTCATCAAGTTGTAAAAGGAGGATGAAACTGAGAAAAATACATGAAAGGTATAGTTAAAATATTATCACACTCAAGATTTACAAATATCCTGCTCTGGCGTCGTGACGCAGGCAGGGAAACCTGTGACGGCAGCATCCACGTGGCTCCACACCCCTGGCTGCTGCCTTCCCATCCGGCTCCCTGCTCTCGGTCTGGAGACAGGTCCAAGCACGTGGGCCCCCGCACCCACAGAGCTGCAGGCTGTGCTTGGCTCCTAGTTTTGCCTTGGCCATTTTAGGAGTGAACCAGCAGATGGAAGATCTCTCTCTTTCTCTCTATAATTTTGACTTTCAAGTGAAATCAATCTTTTTCTAGGAAAGGAAAACAATTAGCTTGATTTGGCCATTCCATAATGTACACTCTTTTTTTAAAAAAAATATTTATTTTAAAGACAGAGGAGAGAGAGAGAGACAATGATAGGCTGGCTCTGGATGCGGGAGTCCCCCGGACGCCCCCATCAGGGACATCACTCGGGACCCCAGGGCAGTGCCTGCAGGAACCAGGAGCCAACTGACCTGGCTCTCTGGGAGGTGGCCTCCTGCTTGGCAGCTGCAGCTGCTAAGCCCCAAAATCTGCCTCAGTATGCATGCTTTGCACCATGTAACAGGCCATAAACGTGTTTGGTCCACCTCAATAAATAAATGATATTCCTCCTCCCTGCCATCAAACCAAAAAAGTGAAAATAAAGCTCAACAGAAAACAGAAGGGACAGTTCACACACACACGGATAAACATCCTAAGCAAATGAAATTATGCTCTAATGCACACATAAAAATGAGACCCAAGTCAGACTTCACCACGATAGCACTGCCACAGACAGTGTGTGACGGACCGTGTCTGGACTCTTGAGCCACAGACTGCTGGTGCCAGAGGCCAAGGTCAACCTGCAGGCAACAGTCTGCGAATGGGCAAAAGTCTGGCCCGGCGAGGGTCTGCAGTCAGGGGGTTCAAGGCCAGGCCTGCAGCGAGGGTCTGCAGTCAGGGTTAAAGGTCAGGCCTGCGATGAGGCCCCATCAATTCCTGTCATTTCACTCCCCAAGCAGCTCAGGACAAGGCTGAGGCAGCGAGCCTTCAGGAGGCAGGAGGCTAAGGGATCCACCCCCTCAGGTGATGGGGCAAGCATGGTACCCCTCCCTCCGGTGCCTCTGCTGGAAGCTTCCCTGCCAACATCCCTCATGGAGGTGGAAGACTAGAACAGCTCCGTGCATGAAGCAAGGCCAGATCTGTCCCGGGGGAGAGGAGCCGGCAGTGACACACCAGGGCTGACCGCTCTATGCAGACATGCCTGCCTTGATCCTCATGCCTTGTCTCAGGTGACCCAAGGGGTCTGTGGACCAACTGACCCTGCTGGTAGGAGCCCGTGGCCCCAGGCCCTGGCCGCTCCCCCAGAGGTCACCTCCTCCTTCTTCTGGTCCGCTTTCTGCTTGTTCTCCTGTGCCAGGCGATGCCGGGCCAGGATGGCCTCCTGGTGGCTGAGCTTGCCCTGCAGCCGCCGGCACTCTTCAGCTGCCAGCTGCTCCTCCCGGTCCTGGGCCTGCATCCTCTTCTGCCACTCCAGGAACTCAGAGAAGTCTCCGGCCCCATCCACAAGCCGGTCGACCCTGGGGGAGAAGCGATCCAGGCACAGCCGTCATTTCTCTGCCTTGTCCCCCATCCCAGGCCACTGAGGGGCACAGGTGTAGCCTGGCCTCCCGGGACATTCACCCTCACTGCCCATGCCACCCCTCCGTGAGTCTATGCGTCGGTCACTTCCTCCCATCCTTCCTCCCTTCATGATCTATCGGCCTGTCTCTCCACCCACCTTTCCTTCCAACACTCTCCGGCCACCAGCCAGTCATCTGCCCAGCTTCTCGCCCTCTGATCCCCATAGCCAGGCCGCCTGCCCATCCAGCCTCTCATCTGTCAGCCAGCTGAAGTGCTGAGGGCTGGCTGCCAGCTCTGAGGTAGCGCAGGGTGGGGACTGCCCGCCCTGGGCAGGGCCAGCTGGAGCGCAGGACTGGCCCTCAGCCGCTGGGGAGGGGGCTAACAGTTGAGTTGACCACCAGCGGCTGGTGACTCCATCAGCCATGCCTACGACACCATGGTGCAGGGGTCTGCAAGGCCTCCAGAGAGGCCAGAACATGAGGGTCTTGCACGGCTGCACACGGGGTAGGACAGGGGATTCCTGCCATGCCCTGCTCTCACACCCCTGCTGTGTGTCCTAGTCTGTGTGTTGTACTACCCTCCCTTCATTTTTTTTTTTTTTTTTAATTTGAAAGGCAAAGTTAGAGAGCAAAGGAGAGACAGAAATCTTCCTTCCCAAATGAGTATGATGCTGGGGCACGCTGTGCCAGGAGCTTCTTCCAGGTCTGCCACATGTATACAGTGGGCCAAGGACCCGGGCCATCTTCTGCTTTCCCCGATTCATTAGCAGGAAGCCGGATTGGAAGTGGAGCAGCCAGGAACCAAACCAGTGCCCAGGTGGGAGGCTGCTGTGGCAGGCGGAGGCTTAAGCTGCTACACCACAGCACTAGTTCTGTAACATCCTCTGACACGGCTACATGTATGCACGGGTCCGTGAGCCACCATCACACTAACGTGCCCTAAGAGGAGGAGGGCGGCCTGATCGACACTTGGCTTCGGCTTGAGGGTTGAGCCCTGACCTGTGGGATCCAACGGCTGCTGTGGTACCTGGTCATACATAAGACATGGGTGATCATACACAAGAAACGGAGTGTTCCACTCCCCCCAGCCCACCCCCCCACAGAAGTGCGACTTGCTGGCCTGGCCTCCAAGTCATACAGAGGCAGATGGATGGAGTGCTGGGGGGACAAGCGACTTTGGGCTCCCAGCGGGGTAGGGGGGATCACCCATGGAGCAAAAAGTGCCCAGTGGAGTTAAGAGACACCTGCAGCTCCTGGAGAGCTGGCTCATTGTACGCACTTAACACAAACCGACAGAAAGTACCCTTCACTGAGGGTCACAGTGGGAGCGCCAGGTCGGTCTTGATTGCAGACTAAGTTCAGACATCAGCCAGTCTGACCACCAGCATCTAAAGCAGCCCGGGCAACGCTCTGCGGGGACGATGGAACTGCGGCTGAACGCTCACCGTCACACAGGCCCTAGTCTTCCTGGGTGGTTTTGTTCCTTTGTTTGCCTTTTGTTTTATTCATTTAATTTTTTGAAAGGCAGAGTTGGAGGAAATATTCTATTATTCTAATTATTATTATTATTATTGAATCTAATACTTCACTCCCCAAATGCCTGTGCTGGCCAGGGCTGAGTGAGCCTGAAGGCAGAAGCCTGGAGCTGCAACCGGATATCACGTGGGCGCTGGGACTCAAGGCCTCAGGCCAACTTCCGCTGCTTTCCCAGTAATTAGAAGGGAGATGAGCAGAAGTGGAGCAGCTGGGACTTGAACCAGCGCTCATATGGAGGCTGGTGTCACGAGCTATGGCGTTCTTGGCTGTGATCCCACCAGATCCTAGTTTAGCCCAAAGTTTTCTTGTCCTGCGTCTATGGTTTCCAATCAACCTCTTGCAAGCCACTGATTTTAGCGCGCATTGCCCGTGCCCCAGGGGGTCGTGGAGCCCTAGGTGGTCGTGGTGCCCCAGGGGGTCGTGGAGCCCTAGGTGGTCGTGGCGCGCCAGGGGGTCCCTGACCAGGAGGCTCCGCTGCCCCTGTAGGTATCATCAGTGTGGCGCTAATTGAAGCGACCAAAGCCCACCTTGCTGTTGTCATGATCCCTGACAGCTGAGCTTTGCTGCTAAGAGGGGCTCGTCCACTGCAGGCTGCCTAGGGGCCTGCACCTGGGCTGCACCTGCAAACCCAGGGCCCACCCAATGCCTCTGGGAGCCCCTGGGCTCCTTGCTGGGTACTTTCCACCCAGCCTGGGCCACCCGTATCAGAGACGTGCAAAGGAAGCTGAGTTCTGGGGTCTGCAATCATCGTGCCCCCCACCGCCTACAGACTTGGTGTGGGGTGGGGTGGTCAGGGGAAGCACCAGCGTGCAGGAGGAAGGAGCTGGGGTCCTGACTGTCCTAACCCACCCAGGGGACACGCAGGAGCAGGTGCTTCTAGATAAAAGCACCAAGACTGGGCTGGGCTGACACAAGATCCCCAGCTCACACTGGAGCCATCCCTCCAGGCCTCAGGTGAGCTGCGCACACAGGCTGTTCCCGGGAGCACCAGCATCCGCACGAGACAGCTGATGGAAGGTGGCCCCGAGGCCGCTCAGGACCAAGGTGGGAGCAGAGGCCTGGGAACCTTGCCACCCTCAGCATCCTCCCTCTCCATCGCAGAGGCGGAGCGGCTGAAGCCTGGGCCACTCACCCTGGCCCATGATGACGTCATCAGCTCCCTCGGCGGAAGGCAGGGCCAGGAGGGAAGACCCCCTCCCCACCTACACCCCTCACCTCTGCAGCTCCTGCTCCACCTGCTGCTGATACAAGGCCCCTTCCCGCAGGATGGCCGCTGTGTTCAGCTTCACCGGGACGTTATCTTGCTGCAGTGGGAGAGCAGTGGCCAGCAGCGGCAAGTGACCCCCTGCCCCGCGGCCAGTGCTTCCTTGGGCCTCAAGGGCAGGGTGGCACCCCGCCCCCCCGCCTGGAGCAGGGCAGGAGGGGCGTGCCTCACCCTATAGAAGGTCAGCTTTGGGGTCTTTCGGATTCGGGAGAGGAGTTGAGGTTGCAGCTGTTTCTTGGGGTCCTGCAGAGGTTGGGGCAAAAGCTACAGCGTGGCAGCTGTGCCCACACAGCTCCCCACCTAGTGTCCTCCCCTGCTCCTCAGGTCAGCACCTCTCCCTCAGGGCCTGCTGCAGCCTCCTTGGTCTGGAACCTGGCACCCAGGGGCCCATCACCCCCTCCCAGAGCTGGCAGCTTTGGCTGCTCTCTAGGTCTGTGCATCCCCTACCCACCTCCCTCCGCTCTGGTGACAGAATCCCACTGGGAACAGACCACCCCCAGAACAACACATCCACTTGGAATCCCCCATCAGACCCCAGGGAACTGCTGCTGGGGGATGTCCAACCCTGGACCTGTCCCAGCAGCTGCGGAAGGGTCCCCAGGTCACCTAGTCACAGTGGCTTTGAGCTCCTGAGGGAGTCTCCCCCAACAGACCAGCGTTTACCCCACTTGCTCCCTGTGCCTGGAGCAAGGCGCTGGGACAGTGCCTAGCGGATGGGCTAAGGGACAAGGGGGCCTGCAGAAGACTCCTCCTAGGGACGTGGCTGAGTAGGCAGCAACTGTCACAGCGGAGACCCGAGACCAGCTGTGGGATCCGCAGGTGGCGCACCTCGGCAGGCTTCTCCAGGCGGGGCCTGGGCATGGCGCAGCGCAGCTCCTCCACGTTGGCCTTTAGCAGCAGCTCCTGCGGGGACAGTGTAGCTGCTGCAGCCCCGCCCCTCGCGCTCCTCCAGGCTGCTCCACCGCGGGGTCGGGGCCAGTCTCACCTCCGCCCGGCGACGGTTGTCTCTCCTGATCATCTCCAGCTGCTGCTGCTGCTTGGGTACCTGGTAGGTGCTCCGGGGCACCTGAGGGGTGCAGGAGGGGCAGGTAGCAAGAAAAGGGAGTGACATAAGGGGACGCTGGGGGTCCGGTGTTGGAGCCTTCAGTGACGTCCAGCTGGACACCTGTGGGATCCTAGCCGGGGCTTCTCCCTCATCTCCCCCTACCAGCCTGCCCAGCCTGGCTGACCCTGTCCACACACCGAGGGCTCTGCCCCTTGCCACCTTCTCTGCCCAGGGGCCCTGCACCGGAAGCAGCAGTCTGTTTCCGCTCCCGCCCCGACGGGAGGCCAGCTGTGCGCCCTGGACCTGGCGGAGGTGGGGAGCTGCTTCTGGAATGCCCTCCCCAAGACAGATGGCTCTCTAGCTCGCTACCTCCAGACTCCTGGTCCCGGCACAAGGCTGCGCGGGCTCCGCGGGCTCCGCTGGCCTCGCCCCTCCGGCCCCTCCGGCCCCTCCCGACCCTTCCTCCTGTGTGTCTTTTTACTTTATCTACGTGCTCTTCCGTCACTGTCCACACATTCATTCCCCTGCCCACGCATGTGCCTGACCCTCCATGTATCTTACTGCCCATTTATTTACGATCCACTCACACACACCTGTCCACCACCCACATGGCCCTCCATCTGCCCACTGGTCACCCATCCCTTGAGTATCTGCTGGGGGTCTACTCTGAACCAGGGTCACACCAGGCGCTGGGGACGTGGCCTGGCAGAGGAGACAGACGAATAGCACCAGTACTGACTAGTGGACAAGTACCAACTACTCAGCACCACTCCAGAGGAGCTGGAGCTACCTACAGGGACGCTCCGGGGACAGGTTGGTCTGAGGCCCAAGGCCTCCCGAGGGGACCCCAGCGTGGGATGCAGTAGCCAATTGGGTGGCCTGTGAGCCAGCTCCTTTTTGTACCAGAGGTTGGGGTGTGCGGGGTCATGGGGTACTGATCCTGGTGGGGGCCCGTTGCTAGCTGTCTGCTCCTGACTGCCTACTGGCCAGTGGCCCCAGGGCATCTTGGTCCTTGGCAAATGCCTGCTCTCACCGCTTTCATCATGGCCATGGTGGGGACTGGCTCTGGCATGGGGATGCTGCGGGGCCTGGGGGCCGTCAGGCGGAACTCCTTGGGCTTCGTGACTTTACTCTTGCACTTGAAGGGAGGGATCTGGTGTGCCGAGGCACCCTCCAGCTGGCTGATCAGCTCCTGGACCTTGGGCTGCCATCTAGAGGGAAGAGGGTGGGAGAGGCCTTTTACATGGGAGGGACAGGTGGGGGAGGAGGAGGGAGAAGGTGGGAGGTGTGGTGGGGGGAGTGGTGGGGGGAGGAGGTGGGGGGAGGAGGAGGTAGGGAGAAGTGGGGGAGCATGTGGAGGAGCATGTGGGGGGAGGTGGGGAGCAGGTGGGGAGCAGGTGGGGGAACATGTGGAGGAGGAGGTGCCCACAAGGGGGAGCAGGTTGGGGAGGAGGTGGGAGGAGATAGGGGAGCAGATTGGGGAGGAGATGAGGGAGCAGGTGGGAGGAGATAGGGGAGCAGATGGGGGAGGAGGTGAGGGAGCAGGTGGGAGGAGATAGGGGAACAGGTTGGGGAGGAGGTGAGGGAGCAGGTGGGTAGAGGCAGGTGGTGTGGACCCTGGCAGGTAGTGAAGAGCTCCTGTGTCCCATGGGGAGCCAGGGCCACCCTGAGGTAGGAGGGCAGAGGCAAGGGCCAGCAGCAAGCGAGGTATCCGGAGGCAGTGCGTGGCAGCCATTGTGTGAGGGGACAATTCTTCAGGGGCAGAGAATCCCAGCAGGCCAGGGTGCAGGAGGATGCTCCCGGCCGGCCACTTTGGGGGCACACGGGGCACCTTCCCAGAGGTGGCTCTGCAGGCTGTGGCCCTTGGGGCATGGAAGAGGGGCCCCTTGCATGCAGGCGGCAGGTACAGCCCAGGCCACCGTGGAGGCTGGTGCTGAGCCTGGGAGAGCAGGCTGACTCCTTCACCGTAGGAAGGGATGTGCCAGGTCTCTCTGAAGCAGTGGTTCTGACCCCTGGGGATGTGGGTTCTGGCAGGGGGGCCATTAGATTTAGGTTAGGGGTCCGCTGGAACTGAGCTGCTAGAAGTGGCACAGAGGAAAAGTTGGGGGTGCTCCAGAGCAGAAGGTCTGGCTCCTGGCCCACCCCCCACCCCCAGTCCAGGCTGGCTGTGAGACCCAGCATGGAGAAAGCCGGGGTCCTAGGCCCGCGTGCTATGCTCCACAGGGTTGGGGCCCTCTCACGCCACTATGGGGCTACCGGGCGACTCCCCGGAGCTTCTGTGAGCAGGGAGGACGGCCCCCGTCTCCCACCTCATCAGGGGTTCCAGCCAGTTCTCCTTCACGTAGGTAGCCTCATGGATGAGGCTCCACTCGTCCTTGATCCAGGAACACAGGTTCACGGGGTTGAAGAAGAACCGGAGGAACTGAGGGGGCCATGAGGGCTGTCAGGAGCGCCAGGGCCCCTGCCCAGACCCCTGACCTGCCTCCAGGGCCCCTGCCCAGACCCCTGCCCAGACCCCTGACCTGCCTCCAGGGCCCCTGCCCAGACCCTGACCCGCCTCCAGGGCCCCTGCCTCCAGGGCCCCTGCCCAGACCCCTGCCCAGACCCCTGCCCAGACCCCTGACCTGCCTCCAGGGCCCCTGCCCAGACCCCTGCCCAGACCCCTGCCCAGACCCCTGCCCAGACCCCTGACCTGCCTCCAGGGCCCCTGCCCAGACCCCTGCCCAGACCCCTGACCTGCCTCCAGGGCCCCTGCCCAGACCCCTGCCCAGACCCCTGCCCAGACCCCTGACCCTGCCTCCAGGCCCCTCCCAGTGGGCGAGTCTGGGCTCAGGGTCGCGCCCTGCTGTGGGGGCTGGGAGGAGGATCATTGGGGTGGGGTGCCCAGCCTGGCCCCCTAGGACCGGGGAGGAGCCACATCTGCTGGGTGAACCTGACCCGCACTCTAGCACTTGAAGGCTGAATCTCCACACGCACCTTGCCCACGGTGGCCTGTGGGTGGGTCTGGGGAGAGCCTACCCAGCAGACACAGGGTGTGTGGGTCCGGGCCCTGGGTCAGGCAGTTCTCCCAGCGCAAGCCTGCCGTTTCCAGGGCATCCAGGAGCCACGAGCTGGCGGGCTGCAACCCTGCAGGCCCAGCACCGGCCCCTGCGGCTGCAGACACGCCCAGCCTGCCGTCACTGGAGAACCCCCCATCAGGTCAAGGGAGGTCACCACCTGCCTAGGTATGCCCAGAGCTGACTCTGACCCTGGGCCTTGGGAGTGGGTCAGGCGACTGTAAGGTCAGCCAGGGCCCTGGCTGCTGTGGGCACTGGGAAGTGAACAAGGAAATAAAAATCCCACCTCTCTCTCTCTCTGTCTGTCTTTGGGGGAACAATGAGTGCCCTTCCCCCACACGCCCAAGCCAGAACACAGGTGGGGGATAATCCCAGGATAAACCCACCGGAGTTTCTCTTGTCAAAATGCAGGGCAGTCCTGCTGCGGAAGGCGGGGGGCAGGGGTGGGGCTCACCTTGCACATCTTGTCCATGGGCAGGGACCTCATGATGTCACAGAAGAGAGGGAAGCCGAGCTCATCCAGCTGGAAAGTGGCCAGGTAGCAAGTCACTAGGGAAACAGGAGGCACTGGGGTACTGAGATGGCCACTGCAGGGCACCGGGGGCACGGGGGGCTAGGGCTGCCACTGCGGGGCACCGGGGGCACGGGGGCTAGGACGGCCACTGCGGGGCACCGGGGGCACGGGGGGCTAGGACGGCCACTGCGGGGCACCGGGGGCATGGGGGGCCTAGGAGGGTCACTGTGGGTCAGTGGGGGCACAGGAGGCACTGGGGTACTGAGATGGCCCCTGCGGGGCACCGGGGACATGGGAGGCACTGTTGGGGTTGGGATGGCCATGGTATCCTTATACCCTGTAGAATCCCATGCTTTCAGTGAGGAAATTCTGCCAGGGCCCAGAGGCAATCACAGGTGCCCTGGGGTCCAGTGGAGCCAGAGTTCAGGGTCCCAACCCTACAGGGCATGCAAAGCAGGTTCAGGGGTCCCGCCCCCCAATTCAGGCCTGAGAATCACCCCCACCCTGGCCCACCACCTGCGGGCAGCCAAGGGCCCCTGCAAGGGGGGCCACCACAGACACCCTGGCCACGCCCTGCACCTGAAGCCATGCCCACCCAGCCATGCCTCCCCCAAGCCCGGGGTCGGGAGGGATGGGCACTTACCCTCAAAGAGGCTATAGTCTGCCCACAGGCACAGCCGGCCATCTCGCGCGTAGAAGGCGTCCACTACGATGTCCAGCAGCTTGTGGTACTCCAGACACCCGGACAGGAGCTCCAGGATGAAGGCCTGCTTCTGGGGGCTGGCAGCCTGGGAGAGAGATGGCCACATACCCACTCCTTAAGCAGGAAAGTGGCTCGGAAGTGAAGCTGCTGGGATACGGGGTGCGGACACTGCAGACCCGAAGCTACCATTGTAACCAAGTTCAAACATTAGGCGTGTTGTATTGCAAGGCAGCTGACACTGCTGTTCATGTCCACAGCCGTCTTTGTGTTCCCAAGCTGCAGCCCTGTCCCTGCTCACCTCTGCCTCCCATCCCCTCCCCTGCTGCCTGTCAGCCCTAATCCGTGCCATCTCGCGCCTGAGCGCACCTGCAGAACCTTTGTCCAGCCACGGTGTATTACTATCTCTGACCTTCCACGGTCACCTCCTCTCTCTGCACTCCCATTGTCACTGACAGCCCAAGAGGACACCCCAATTCCTGACCTCCCCGGGCACTGCCCGCCACTCCCAACCTCCAGTACTGACCCTGGCCCAGAGTTGGCAGAGAGACAGAGAGAGGTCAGTTGGGACAGCAGATCAAGAACCCACGTGGGAGACCCTGAGGAAGCTTCTGCCTTCAGCCTCGCACAGTCTGGGCAGTGAACCAGTGAGGGGATCCACGAACTCTGTAACCCTGCCTTTCACAAACACATCTTTAAAAAGAGAGACAAAGGGAGTTGAGGTGGTGGGATCACAGGAAGCCCATCCCCGCTCCTTTCCACCTTTGCTCAGATGAGACCACGCTGCACACTGCCCGGCCGTCAGAGCCACAGGGCGAGCTGCACCCGGGATGCAGCACAGTGCCGGAGGGAGGCAGCCACTGGTGTCTGTGAGGGTGGCTGGGTAGAGAGCGAGGAAGCGTGAACAGCACGGCTACTCTCAGGGCATCCTGCAGCCACCTAACTGGCAGGGTTCCACGGCTTGCCCGCACGCCAGGGGGTGGCACCTCTTGGGCCCAGAGGGCCGCTGTGGCTCTCACAGCAAGATGCCGTGTAGGGCTAGTGTCATGGCTCAACAGACTAGTCCTACACCTCCAAGTGCCAGCATCCCATATGGGTGCTGGTCTGTGTCCTAGCTGCCGCTTCCCACGCAGCTCCTCGCTTGTGACCTGGGAAGCAGCAGAGGACGGCCCAAGGCCTTGGGACCCTGTATCCATGTGGGAGACCTGGAAGAAGCTCCTGGCTCAGCTCAGCTTTGGCTGTTGAGGCCATGTGTGGAGTCACTCAGTGGACGGGAGCGCTCTTCCTCTCTGCCTTTCCTTGTCTCTGTAAATCTGCCTTTGAAATGAATAAATCTTTTAAAAAGAAAAAACAGATGCTGTGTCTTTAAGGTCTGGATGTTGGGGTGGTCACGATGACCCTGACATGGCTAGGGTGCAGCTTGCCCCAGGGCAGGAGACCCTGCCCACGCTGCCTCGCCTGCAGGAGCAGCCAAGGACAGGACTGGGCCACACCACCTGCGTCCTGCACGGACTGTCTGTCTCGAGCTGCCCGTTGCTGAGGCTGGTCACCTGCAGCAGAAAGGTCTGCCACTCTCACTCCCACTGGTCCACAAGCACGGCCTTGGTCTCGCCCGGCTCCACTGTTGGGGAAGATGGACGGCGACCCTCACCTTCCACCACGGCTGCACCCAGGGGTCCAGCCTCGACCCTAGTCTTGCTGGGGACCACCCCCCAGGTACAGATTGTCAGGGTGTGGGGCAGGGAGCCAATTCTTGTAGGTGAGCTTGGCCCAGCCAGACACATGCTTAGCTGCAGGCAGGCCAGGCATGGCCCAGGATGGGGGACACACAGCGCGTCTCTGCTGGATCCCTGGGGGCCAGTGCAGAGGAGAGGCTTGGGCTGAACCACGAGGACCCTGGGGGTCTACCCTGGGCTGGGGGCACAGCGGTGGCACCCACCAGGCTGCCAGGGCTCAACCCTCTTCAAAGCAAAGCCTTTCCTGGACCCAGGGCTCCTTTGAGGCAGCTGCACTGTGACACGGCCAGCTACAGGAGGGACTGGAGGTCCACTCCCGTCTCCAGCCTGGCAGCCGGGACCCTGGGCTTCCTGATGGCCCAGGCTGTGACCTCCACTCGCACTTCTGTCTGCAGGCCTGGTGAGCCCTGTGGGGTGGCTGGGAGCCTGGGGAAGGTGGAGGGGTGACCAGGGGCCATGGCCGGGGAGAGAGGCCTCCCTGGTTGGGGATACCCACTGCCCTGAGAATGCAGCATGGGAGGGACAGGAGGGGGCTTCCTCAGTCTCCAACCCCACCCTGAGAGCCTGGCCAAGCTGCCCGGGGACGGCGAGGAACTCTTTTTCTGGCCACTGGCTGTGGGCCCTTGCCCCTCCCAACCCCCACGGTACGATCAGCTGGCATGGCCTGGCTGGGGTCAGGCCATCTCCACTTCTCTGACAGGATGCAGCCCACTGCACTGGGGAAGCTGGCAGGAGGTGGCTGCCCTGGCCCAGGGCCTGTGTGCACTGGTGCCCTCCCAGCGCCATGGAGGAAAACAGAATCCAAAGCTTTAGAGCGTTCTGCGAGTCAGGGAACGGTTGACATCCACGTGCAAGCTTCCCACAACTCACGGGGGCTTTTTATCTCCATGGCGTGACAGAGACAAAGAGAAACCTTCCCACTGCTGGCCCCCTCCCTGCCCAGGGCTTGGGGGTGGGGGTCCCTTCCAGTGGCTCCTCCGTAACAGCGGGATGAGGAGAGGGAGGGCTGCTTCCTAGGATGCTGGCCCTACCTGCAACGAGGCAGACACGGTCTCTAGGAACTGCTCAGGGTGGTCCCTCTCGGGCTTGAACCGGCTCAGATGCTGGATGGCTATGGCAATGCACTTGCTGTAGTAGGCCATTTTGCAGGGCAGGACCCTAAGGAAAACAGAAATCACCCCTTGATGGCCAGCGCCTCCTAACAGATCCACTTAAAGGTGTGGTTCCACAAAGATATGTGGCCAGGGTGTGGACGGCTGTCCCGGCAGCCTGGGTGCCACCGCTGTGCCCCAGCCCAGGGAGCAGCCCCGGCAGCCTGGGTGCCACCGCTGTGCCCCAGCCCAGGGAGCAGCCCCGGCAGCCTGGGTGGCACCGCTCTGCCCCAGCCTAGGGAGCAGCCCCGGCAGCCTGGGTGCCACCGCTGTGCCCCAGCCCAGGGAGCAGCCCCGGCAGCCTGGGTGCCACCGCTGTGTCTCAACCCAGGGAGCTGGGGGTCTCCCAGGTGCTGACCCTCTGGGCTCCAGACAAACTGAGAAAACTCCAGGCCCTAAGGGCTGAGGCTGGCCGATCCTGTGGGCACAGTCCTGCCCCTCCCCCTTGCTCCCCCATGTCTAGAGGAGGGCAGCTAGGTACCACCAGCCCAAAGCAGAGAAGTTACAATCCAGCAAGAGAACCCACCAGGCTCAGAGCAGGGAAAAGCCTGAGAGACGGGGGAGTGGTGACCAGAGGTGGGGGGATAGAGAGCCCCCAGGAGGCCAGCACGGTCCAGACAGGGGACACTGGACAGATGGCGAGGGCAGGGCAGCTCTCCCAGGGTACAGTGAATATGAAGTCCTGGAGGAACCAGGAAACTGCTCCAGCATAGCCAGCTGGGGATATGGCTCTGCAGCTGTGGTCCCTGTGCGCTCGCTCAGCACCCTTCTGCACGGGGTGCCCTCGAGCGCTGCCCGTACTGGTCACAGGTGCACAGCAGCCTGAGCCCAGAAGGCCCCACGCTGGCCTCGGGGCTGCACCCACGCAAGCATCTTGGTGTGACATCTCTGCGTGATAATGCAGCTGAGCCTGGGGTGACAAAGGGGGCAGAGTGGAGGACCTAGAGGGACATGACAACAGGGAACCTGTCCTGGCCTGACTCCTGGGTCAGGGCTGCCTGCCCTCCAGGCCTGAGGCCCAGTAGACAGGAGCCTGTGCCCAGCTGTGGCAGCCTCCTGCCCTGCCCCCACACAGACTGTACGCCTCACGTGCAGGCACAGCTGCTGAGGCAGGGCTAGCGGTTCCACTGCCTGTCCCGTCCTGCTCCTGGCCAGTCCTGCAGAGCTCTGCCCCAGCACCTGCTCCCTCCCGGGAGACCCCCGTCCCCTGAAAGGCCGGGCCATGGGACCAGCATCCCGTGCTGGTCACTCCATCACCCCCCGTCGTGGTGGCCAGCAGAGTGCGTGGAGTGCTCACTTACATGCCCAGTTTTGACCTTAGGAGGGAGGCTAAGCAGGATGCAGAGGGTCAGCCCTGGTCTGGCCTGGCTGGGGGGGGTGGCTTGGCCCTCCTGCGTCCCAGGCTCTGCAGGCTAGGGGGGTGTCCTGGAGAAATGAGGCCCAGGAGAGCTGGGGGAGGGCAAGCAGGGGTAGGGGACAGCTCATACTGGGGTGAAATGGCGGACACAGAACCTCTCCCTGCCAGCCCCTGCCCCATCCTCACGGTGTCAAGGCCCTCCCTGCCCCTCAGCCCCCACAGGGCCAGAGTGCTGGTCCACCGACTGGGCTCTGGGGTTCTTCGTTCCTTCAGCTCATCTTCAAGAAATCCCGGCCATTCAAGGAATTCCTCAGCCCAGGAAGCAGCACCGCCTGGGGACAGAGCTGTGGTCCTGCCGGGCAGGCTGCGGCCAGCATCAAAGGCACCTGAGTTCTCAGGGCCTAGGCTGTGCTTCACCTTCCCTGCCCAGCTCTCAGAGGTCAGCAGCTAGGACTGGCCACACCGTGAGGGCTGTGACCGGGGAGTGGGCCTCTTCCTGAAGAAGACCCTCACACCAGGAGCGGCAGTAGTAGCATCTCCAGTTACCTCCCAGGAATCCCCATCCCAGGCCTAGACCTGAGATCCAAGAGCAAGTTCTGTTGCACCACCCCTCCCCCTCAGCCTGAGCACCCCTGGACCCCACATCCCTCAGCCTGACCACCCCTGGACTCTCCCACCCCTCAGCCTGAGCACCCCTGGAACCCTCAGCCTGAGCACCCCTCAGCCTGACCATACCCCTGGACCCCACATCCCTCCTACCCCTGAGCCTGACCACCCATAGACCCCACATCCCTCAGCCTGAGCACCCCTGGACTCCACATCCCTCAGCCTGAGCACCCCTGGACCCCACATCCCTCAGCCTGACCACCCCTGGACTCTCCCACCCCTCAGCCTGAGCACCCCTGGACCCCACATCCCTCAGCCTGACCATACCCCTGGACCCCACATCCCTCCCACCCCTCAGCCTGAGCACCCCTGGACCCCTCAGCCTGAGCACCCCTGGACCCCACATCCCTCAGCCTGACCACCCCTGGACCCCACATCCCTCAGCCTGAGCACCCCTGGACCCCTCTGCCTGAGCACCCCTGGACCCCTCAGCCTGACCACACCCCTGGTCCCTCCCACACCTAGGTAACCCTCATGCCCCATCTTCCCCGTGCCCTCAGTCTTCCCTTCCCCGTGTCCCTCCAACATCACCCTGTCTTCCTTGCACCATTGTGGGCACCCTGGGCAGGGACCTTCTCCAGGGTCTTCCCGATCTGCTCGGTACTCCAGAGCCTCCCCCAGCAGGCGCCTGGGCCAGCACTGTGGCTCAGCTGGTCAGCTGCGACCTGTGAGGGTGGCTGTTGGGGACTGAACCAAGATGGACGAGTTCTTTCTCTGTCACTCCACCTTTCAAATAAATGAAATAATCCTTAAAAAAAAAAAAAAAAGCATGACCCGGGTTTTTGACCTTGCTTCTGACTCCTGCCCACCATACTGACGTGTTAGTAGTCCCGGCGTGTGGTCCAGCCCGCGGGTTCAAGTCGGCCTGCACCTCCCAGGCAGAGCAGTGAGCAGAAGGGCCGTGTGAGAGCCAAACCCCAAGGAGACAGGCCTGCGGAGTCCACAGTCCCATTTCCGAGCGGAAAGTGGAGGGACGGTCCACCCAGTTGTGCAGCGCGCCTCTCGCCCCTCATGCCGCTTTGCTTCCGCTGTGCATTCTTATCTGTGCTTCCACGGGGAGAAACCAGGCGGGGCGCAGTGTCGGGTTCCCGAGTTGATGGCTTTTTCTTTTTTCCCTCACTGTGGTTTCAAGCTAGCAACGTGAGCTGCGCCAAAGCTGGCCTTCCCCTGGAAGACCCTTCCAGGCCTGGGTAGTAGGTCTAAGGCTGGCTTGACACAGACCCACCCGGTCCGCTGCAGCCCACACGTGGCCAGCATGTGTCTCCTTCAGGCAGGGGCTCCGCAGCCTAGGGGGACCACTTGCTGGTCCCCTTGTGGTCTGTTCTCCACAGCCCCATGTCTGGCTGGGTCTCCCGCTGCCTGAACAGACATTTCCTGGCTTCTCCCAGAGCTGAGTGTGGTCACGGGGCCGGGGGGCGGGGAGGGGGCTGAGCAGGGTTCCCAGCTTGGCTGTCACCAAGCTGGGGCTTCCACAGGCAGGGGGGTCTGAGCAGGATCCCCAGTCGGTGAGGAGGGTGGGCAGGGGACCCTTGCTTACTCTGGACTAAAGAAGGACCAATTGTTGACCTGCGGCATAATTCCACAGCCAGAAGAGGCCAGACCTGCACTGTCCAGGCGCATGGGGGTGGTGAGCGGGGATCTCCGAGGGCTTGAGGCGGTGGGAGCTGTGTGCAGCTGGGCTCCCCTGGCCCTCCATCCCCTGGCCCAATTCCTGCAGCTGTGCGTGGGCTCGCCGGCGAGGCGACAAACAGGCGCTCGGCTCCCAAGGAACGCGCTGCCAATTAGGGCACCCTCTGGGGGACAAGGCTTATTCTCCCATAGCGGTTTATTGTGGCGATTCTAAAAGAGAACGTTAACTTTACCCAAGGCACCAGGCAAGAAACCCCAAAACCTACATAGGAAAGTCAGGAATGCAAAACCGGCCAGCACCAGATGGGAAGGTACCAAGAGTGCGGGTCACTGCGCATGGCCGCCCCCACCCTCCTCCCGAAGTTCCGCACCCGCACGTTCACCTGTCCGCTGGCTGCCCGGCCTCCCTCCTCGCCTCCACCTGCCGCGGCCGCGCTAGCCAGCAGCCCACTTCTCTCCGGACCCGCCAACACGGCGTCGGGCACCGTCTCCTAGCAACGCCGCGCGCCCGCCCCCGCGCGCGAGGCGTGGCGCACGGGCCGGGCGTCCGCGGGGGAGCGCGCCTCGCGGGGCGGCCGCGCGCGGGGATTGGCCGGCCGGGGGGCGCGCGGCGGCGGCCTCGGCGCATGTGCGGCGTGGGGCGGCCGTGACCGGCGGAGGCGCGGGGTGTCCGCGGCCGGGCAGCACCGCGCGCCGCCGTGGCCGCGTCTGCCCGTGCGCCCTGGGCGCCCGGCCCCGCCGGCCTGCGGCTGCGTCCGGTGCCGCCCGCCTAGCATCCCCGGCCCCGCGCACCTGGCCCGACGCACCTGCGCGCGCGCCGGCCGCCGGGAGCCCGGCCCGTGCCCTGCGGACGCCCGGCTGCCCCCGCGGGCTCGGCCCCGGCCCTGCTTCCGCGTCCGCCCTGCGCCGCGGCCGGGCCCCGGCGCAGCGCTGCGGAGGGCGAGGGCCGGCCGGAGCCCGGCGGGGGCCGGCGCGGCGATGATGAACAGGTTCCGAAAGTGGCTGTACAAACCCAAGGTGAGCGGCCCCCGCCCCGGGCGGACGCCCCCGCGCCTGGCGCTCCGCTGCACCCGCCGGGCCCTCCCTGCCTTGCCCCGAGTGTGTCGGGCGCTGGCCCACGCTCCACCCGGATCCCCCGCTCTCCGCTCGGCAGACCCTCCTGGCCCTGCCCGCGAGGCGGCCGGAGCACCGAGCACCGCGGGCTAAGCCCGGGTCCGAGGCGCGCCGCTTTGCGCCCACTCCCTGGTCTGGGTGCGGCTTTCTCCCGCCTCCGCCTGTTACCCCAGGCCGGACCTGTTCTTACCTTCTTACCTCTGCTGCCGCACCCCGCACCGCCCCA